TTCCCCTGCCTCAGCCTCCACGTGCTGGACTACAGGCATGTGCACCCATGCCAGCGAATCTGTATTTTTTCAGAGACAAGGTTTCGCCATGTTGGCCAGGCTAGTCTCCATCTCTTGACCCCCTGACCCGCTCCGCTCCCCAAAGTGCTGGGGATTACAGGCGTGAAGCACTTGGCACCTGGTGTCTTATGCTTTTTTGTATTTCAAGGGAATACTATTGGTTAACTAAGGGACAAAACTTTACCACAGAGAGGCAAGCTGACTTTTCCCAAGCCACACAGCACAGAGGACTAAGAATGAGATTTTCAAAGCTCTGACTGCAGTCAGGTCTCTTGGGCAGCATTCACAGAGGAGGAGGAGCAGCCAGGTGGGACAGGTACTGTGGAGACGGGCAGGGTGGGCAGGAACGTTGCTCTGGAGTCAGAAGCAACTGAGTTACAGACCTGGAGGCCTTCACATAGTGCACTCCTCAAGAGCAAGGCCAATGTCTTAATGATGTCTCTGTGTTTATTTGGACCTTACACATGGACATCAGGTGCTGAATAAATGGCTCTTGACTTGTAACGGTTGACTTGCATGACTGTCGTGTGGCCTGAAACCTCAATTTCCTCATCTGTAATAGGATAAAAATGACTGCTAGCCTGGGAGCCCTCCTGAGTAGTTGGCTATATGGGATGATTTTCATGCATCCTTCTTGGGAGAGATTTTTCCCTCCCACAAATCTCAAGCTGCCTTCAGTCCTGCTGCCACATTGCTTAACTGAGAAAGTACAGGGAACAGAGAAGTAGATATCCCAGACCTGATTGGCTCCATTTGGTAACTAGATACAGGCACAGTGTCCTTCCCACTATCACGGCCAATGACTCTCCTGTCAAGAGGGCACTCTGTGGAGAAGCAGAATTGCTGTGTCCGTGAGGGCTGTCTGGATGGCATGAGGATTCAAATACCGTATTGCAGTCAGGAGTTTTGGGTACTGAATCATGTATTTACTCATATATATAGAAAAAAATATATACATATAAAGGAAAAATATATATATAGAGAGAGAGAGAGACTGAGTCTATTGCCCAGGCTGGAGTGCAGTGGCACAATCACGGCTTGTTGCAACTTCTGCCACCCTGGTTCAAGTGATTCTCATGCCTCAGCCTCCTAAGTAGCTGGAATTACAGGTGCCTGCCACCAGGCCAGGCTAATTTTTGTATTTTTGGTAGAGACAGGGTTTCACCATGTTGACCAGGCTGGTCTCCTCAAACTCCTGACCTCCAATGATCCACCCACCCCGGCCTCCCAAAGTGCTGGGATTACAGGCGTTAGCCACTGCGCCCAGCCTATTTACTCATATATTTACAAAACAAAGTTAAACATCTGACCCTCTCAAGATTGGCAACTACTCGGTACACTGATTTATGGACTTTTAATCACAACCTCTAGAACCAACCCCTGTTACAGGACAACCAGAGATGACTTGACTGTTGGCCAGTCAGGGCAGAGCCACCAGGTGCATGGAGGTTCCTAACAATACCAACTTCCTAAGTTTGTCATGAAGTAGCTTGGTCCATTTTTATTACTATAAAGGAATACCTGAGGCTGGGTATAAAGAAAAGAGGTTTATTTGGCTCACAGTTCTGCAGACTATACGAAAAGCATGACTCCAGCATCTGCTTCTGTCAAGAACCTCAGGAAACTTCCACTCGTAACAGAAGGCAAGGGGAGGCGACATTATATGGAGAGAAGAAGGGAGAGAGAGAAGGGAAAAGCTGCCAGGCTCTTTTCAACAACCAGGTCCTGTGGAAACGAAGAGTGAGAACTCACTCCCGGGAGACTGACTCCAGGCCATTCAAGAGGAATCCACCTCCATGATCCAAATGCCTCTCACCAGGCCCCACCTCCAACACTGGGGATCAAATTTCAACATGAAACTTGGCAGGGTCAAGCAAGCCATATCCAAACCATGCCATAACGGTATAAAGTCTGAAGTGCCTGGTACATAAAGGCCCTCGATCATGATTGACTCCCTTATCCTCATTTTTCTTCTACTAGAGAAACAAATAGATGGAGAATCACCTGTGTGCCCTCAGTTCTCAAGATGGCCGCCAGCCCCAGGCACTCTGTTGAGCAGCCTCAGAGCATCCTGTAAGGATATTCAGCACTGATTCGGCAATTCATAGAGCACAACGAAAGGCTCTGGTAGTATTTCTACCTAAAACTACTTTATGAAAAAAATGTTGTTTTCCAAATATACCCAAAAAGAATACCTCCATCTTCCTTTGTGGCAACAATCACCACTGTATGGCTGGACGCTTCAACCAGGGAAAAGAGGAGTTGGGTTCTATCTCAGTTTTCCCATCCCCCAGTTCATTGCTGACTTTTAAGCTGATTTTGAGGGAGGAGAATGAGGCATCTGATTAATTAGGTCATCTTTTAATTGAATTCAAACTATTAGGTGCGGAAAATTTAACAACTGGTATCCTGGAGGTTGAGAACATTTTTTAAAATATTACAGTTAGTATTAAATGTTTCCAAATTTAAGATCATCTTAGCTACATGAAGGAAAGATAGAATTTAATTTTGGTTGCATAGGGAATTTCGTCCACTTGAAGGATTACATACTTGACGCTGTGCCTTCTCATTTCTTACGTGAACAAGTCCTTGGTGACAGAGAACCAATGCATGGAGCAGGTGTGGTGCCTGCGGCCACGCGTATGAGTCCACCAGCAATGAAAGCCAAGGACAATACAGCTCCAAGTAACTGGAAAGCCCAACAAATTAGTTTGCTACTTACTTGGATGAAAGTCTTACTATTTTAAGGGAATATATTTTTCATTCCATTAGCATATATCTTGTCTCTTGCTTTTTATGGTAGGTGTCAGATATTTGAGTTTTATCAAGTGACAATAAAATAGGGGAACTGTCCTCTGAAGGCATATGCTGAGCATCCCTAGAGAACCTGCTGGTCTGGGCTAATCTATCCCTCTGAGTTGGGGATGTCTTAAGTGTTTTTTTGATCACAGCATTGAGTGATTTGGGAGCCGAAGGTATTCCTTAGACAGGAAATAGGAGCTCAATGGGTGGCCCAAAATAAATGTCTGGATTACAAACAGAAAGAGGCAAGAAAGTGCAGTCAAGCCAAAAAAGAAAACGACACCTAACAACAAGAGTGGGTATGTCTCTTCAATGATACCTGGTCTCACTATTCTCCTGGAACAATACTAACCTCACTGTCACTATCACCCCCAGCCCCAACTTGTTTCTACTCCTGCATTTTCATTCAGGGGGTGTCTCCACCATCCACATAAATATTCGAGCTGCAGTACCAGATCAGTCTCAGCTCTATTCAGTCAACCATCTAAACATCATTGCCAATATCCTCATTGTCACTGCTTCAGTTCAACCTCTCAATGTGTTCTTCCCATCTGTTGTCAAGGCCTTCTAGTCTCCCAGTATCCAGCTGTATCTCTCTGAAATTTATCCTTCAATGCAAGCAAATCTGATCGTGCCTCTCTCTAGCTTAATTTGAGTCAGGTCCAAGCTTTAAAGTGGCGCATAAGGCCTTTGCAAGTGATCTCCTGCCTATGTTTTCAGGTATCTGCAGAGGCCTTTATCTTTACCCTCTTCCAGCTTTACAATTTTGGCCCTAGCATTACCAAACTCGAATTTTCCTGCACATGCAGTGCTGTCTCTTGCTTTCATCTGTTTACTGCTGCCATTCTCTCTACTTCAAATGTCCTTCTGCTTTCCTTTCTTTCTCTAGTCAGCTCTCACTTTGCCTTTTTTTTTTTTTTTTCTTCTGAGATGGAATTTTGCTCTTGTTGCCCAGGCTGGAGTGCAGTGGCGCAACCTCGGCTCACTGCAACCTCCGCCTCCCAGGTTCAAGTGATTCTCCTGCCTCAGCCTCCCAAGTAGCTGGGATTACAGACGCCCACCACCACGCCACCACGCCCAGCTAATTTTTGTATTTTTAGTAGAGACGGGGTTTCGCCATGTTGGTCAGGGTGGTCTCGATCTCCTCTCCTCAGGTGATCCACCCGCCTTGGCCTCCCAAAGTGCTGGGATTCCAGGCATGAGCCACCGTGTCCAGCCTCTTTTAGCTTTTAAGGTCTAGATCAAGCATCATTTCTTGTAGGAAAGTATCCTAAACTTTCTCAGCCCACAACCCCCTAGTGTCCAATAATTTTTACATAGAGCCTGTGGGCCAACATAAATACCAACAGTTCTGTTTATTTAGTAGTTAGATCTGAACACCTTAATAAGGATTTTTGTCCTGCCAACTTAAGAGCTGTGTCAACACACACAGACACACACACACACACACACACAAATTGGAAGAAAAATCATATTTGTATTCTTAAGTAACCACAGCTACTTACTAACGGGATGTGTCTGTCTGTGGGGCACCGTACAACTGCCCAAGCCTTAGGATCAGATGGGGCACTGCCACTGTCATTACCTGTTCCACATTGATTTTCACTGGCTACTTGGTTTTTATTACGACAGTTGCTGAAACTGCAGCTTCACCAAGATAGGACCTCAAGAATGCAGCCCAGTCTGATACTGTGAACTCTAACTACCTCAAGCTAGAAGCTTATGTGGTGTTCAACAGATGAGTATGCTGTGTTTCCCTTATAACATTTAAAACATCCAGTGGCACCTCTTTGAGTTTGCTGTGGTGTTCTGACCTAGAGTAGCTTGGTGTACAATTTGAGAACCTCAGGCTTGGGAACTCCCCACTATGGAGCTGGGCCCACCGTGAGCTCTCTTAGCACCCTGCACGTCTCTGTCATGGCCCTTGGCCTATTGCATTGTACGAAGCTGCTTTTGTATCTGACTCTCTAAGGCTGTGAGCTCTCTAAGGGTAGGGACCATACTTTCCTCCTCTTTGTACATCCCGTGATAATGCAGGGGTTTTTTTTTTATTTTCATTTGGTTTCCTGGTAAGAGTTCCATAGGAGGAGAAGAAAAAAGAGAGTAGAAGGAAAAGAAATAAGGGAGAGGAGGGAAGGAAAGAAGGAAGGAAGAAAGAGAGAGGGAAGGAGGAAGAGGAGGGAAGGAAGGCAGAAAGAAGGAAAGCTGCTTTGTCTCAGGCAGACTAATAGGAAAGCAATTTTTGCTTGCAAACCTCCTTCAAGGGAATGAGAGGTATTCTCCGTGACCCTGGGGCCAGGCCAACCTTGAATTCAAAAATCCTCCACGCTGATGGCAGAAAGTAGGAAGAATCCCGCCTGAGCGTTGCAAGGCCATTGGCGGGCACTGCTGGTCCCTCCCCTGCGGGAAGGATCACTGCTCACCTGTTTTTTTGTTTGTTTGTTTATTTGTTTGTTTGTTTTATTAGCCATTGTGTTTCTTTTCTTTGTGCTGTTCTTCTCCATCCTCAGTAAGCATGAGAGTTTTTACACTATTTCTTTTTCATATTCTGCTACAAATGGGATAATCAGAAAGATTAGGGCTAGGATCAGAAGTCAAATTTAGGTTCACACATGACAAAACTTCAACAATTCACATTTCACCAGTTCTAATGATTGCTGTCATTTGTTGCTGTCATCCAATGGGTGCATTTTAGTTTCAAGGGATATGCCTCTTTTATCTGCTGGAGGTCTCAGACAGTGTCTGAGTCAACTCTCTGCCAACTCCTCAGTCACCCTGAGGATAGCAGATGCACAGGCTCAGGCTGGGGTTTAGGGTCCACCCCACATACTCCCACTTGCCCTTGGCATTGGCCCCATGGGTGGACCACGGAGGTGGGTGCTCTATGGCAACAGTCTTTCTTCAGCAGAGTGGAGAGGGAGAGGCATGTTCTGCCGCGCCCATGTTCAGTCTGTTCTGTGGGCAGAGTTTGGGGAACACACTTAGCCCAAATCGGTGCCAGCCTGGCAGTGGGTGAAGGGCCAGCAAGGTTTGTCTGTGGCTCATGACCTTAGGGAAAATGAGATTTTACTCCTCCAACCTCCTGCCTGGAGAACTGCACTGTTTCAGATAGGTAACAGCTTTCTCGAAGCTTTCAAAAATAAAAATAAAACCTTTAACGTACATAGCTGCCAGAAAGTCCTTCCTGGAAGCCAACTTGCGCCCTTTGTGCTTATTTTATTTTGGCCAACCCTCCCTGGAGCATGTGCACCAGATACGATAACCTTCCACCAAACCGGGACCTCTCAGATCTCGGCTTTTCAGAACAAAGAATTCGGATTTCCTTAGCCTTTCATCATCATCTTATCACCCAAACCTTTCATTATCTTTTTCAATTTTTTCTTTGAACTCTTTCCAAAACTTGTCTTTTGAGTTACGGAGCCCGTAACTTAATTAGATCTTTCATTTCCAGAGGATACTCCTAGTGCCTCAGAAGAAATAAATTAAATTTCAGTTGGATGTATTTCATTGGGGGAAGGGTGCAGAAAAAAAAAGAAATTGAATTCCTTATATAAATAGCACATTGTCTGGTGCCACAAATGCGTTTTCCTTTTCCCAGTTGTTTTTGGAACAATGGGTCCTTTTTTGGTGACTTTAATTCCTCAGAGATTCTAACCTCTAAAAGGTCATGGTTTGTGTTCTTTTGTGCATACACGGCTTCTGTACTGAAAAAAAAAGGCGAGATGTGTGGCCTCTGATTGTCTGGTAAGTCGTGAGGAAACAGACAAGGCTGCAGCCCAGCAGCAGTTAAGCACCTTGTCAGAGTGTGGGAATGAGCATGTGTGGGTCTCTGTGCTTCCAGCCTTTTCTGCACCAGATGTTCCAAGGGGAGCAGAGGGATCTGTCTTGCTTCTCCGTAACTTCATCTCTCTGTAAGTAGGCTTGCGTTTTACAGTGCTGTTCTCATGAGATGTGCAGACTTCCCTATCCTGATCATTTGGTATCTGTCCACAGACTTTCATGGGGGAAAGGGACGGTCTTTAACTTGTCTTTCTGCTGTGGAGCAGAACAACAGAGGCTGGCCTTTGCTCAGCCATCACCCCAGCCAGGCTGCTGTAAGCGCATTTCATCACTTGTTTCCACTTGAGTTTTTCCTTGTGTCAAATGAAGAAGTTGGGTTCACAGATGACCTCTGAGGTCCCTTCCAGTCCAACCCTGTGATTCTCACAGCATCGGTCATTCTAATTGCTCCATAGAAGGGTAGGACAAGGAAGCAGGGGGTGAGTTTAGCAGCCAGCTGGGGAAAGGATGCTTGCAGAGAGTGTCAGTGTAACTCGGATTCCCACTTATCTCTTCTCCCTCCCAAGGATCGTGAATCAACGTAGTGTGAAGGGACAGGAAAGAGCACCTATTGATCACCTGTGATGGGTCGGATGCTCCTTCTCTACACTGGCTCATTTAATCATTACCTCTCACGTAGAATAGATGTACCAGGTGTTTTCCACCTCAACAACCGCCACGCGCCCCATCCACCCCACCCAGATGTGTCTGCACCCTCAGATTTCACTTGAAATGTTCCCTCCTTAGTGTATCCTTCCCCAGCCCCTCAGACCAGGTTAGATCTCCCTGTCCTATGTTCTTATGTCCCCTATGCTTTCCCTCCACTGCACTTAATGCCAGTGTAATTAAATCATTATCTGTATAATAATATTTACGTGCCTACTCAACAGAAAACTACTTTAGGGCAGGGATCTCATAACTCTTGTTCATTACTGTATTCCTAGAGCCTAGCACAGTGCTGACAAAATAGTTGAAATTCAGTAGATGTTTGCTGAATAAATGTAAGCATGAATGCATGAATGAAAGGATGGATGAATAGCAAGGCTAGATACAAATCCAGAACTATCTGGCTCTTGGAGACCTGTGTATGATTTCAGAAGAGCTCCACTTGTAAGTTTGTACACAGGGCTTCACTGCTATAACCGGCCTATGGATACTTAGCCACAGTTAGTTATGCTCTGAGTCATTTCTCCAGAAGTGGGAATGATAGCTGCACTGCTGTGGCCATTCCTTTTAACCCAGTGATACTCGTCCCCAAAGATGTCTGTAAAATACTTGGAGATGATGGATCCAGCCTGGTGGTGGTTGGAAGTGGGTGGAGGAAGGCAATGAATTAATCCAAACCAATTGTCCTTGTAAGCATTTAGCCCGATGTCTTAATAATAATCAGCACCAGCCTGGGCAACATAATGAGATCCTGTCTCTGCAAAAATAAAAAATTAGCCAAATATGGTGGCATGCACCTGTAGTCCCAGCTACCTGGGAGGCTCAGTGAGAGGATTGCTTGAGTGCGGGAGGTCGAGGCTGCAGTGAGCCATGATCATCACATCACTGCACTCCAGCCTGGGTGACAGAGTGAGACTCTGTCTCAAAAGAAAAAGAAAAAGAAAAAGAAAACCATCAGCACCACTTCTAATACTTTCTACCAAACGAGCTGAAAACAAGAATCTGCTCTTTCGGGGATCTGGGTCAGTAAGAATGAGCGGGTGAAGAGGAAGGAGGAAAAAGCAAGACATGACAACCTTTAGAGAAGCAAAAATAAAACTCTAATGTGGAAACTGCTGAAAATAGACTGCCTGGGCTGTCAGACTGCATGCAAATCTGATGCTAATTACATGGAAATTAATTACAAGTCCTAACTTCCATATGTCTCGATATGACCCCTGGGGGAAAACCTGCTGCAGGTGTCTACTCCCCACCACAGAGTAGTGAGCAGAGCACAGGCTATGATGTTGCCTCCTTCACACTCGCTCTTGCCACTGCAGTGAGAAAAGCTGAGAGGAGGCTAAAAATACTAACAATAGAAATTTGATTTCTTCTTTCAGACAAAAAGCCTTGGCATCCACGGGAGGAAGAAGTGTTCAGGCAGCATGTGACTGGTTGGTATGAGATAAATAAATTGAGAAAATAGCATATAATTAACTCTTAAGTGCATGTGGATGAGTGGGGAGGTGCAGACTTTCTCTAGTGGACTCTTCCAGAAGAGACAGGAGCCAAAAGACTGTGGCAAGGCCATTTATCAAGTCAATTGCCTCCTCTGCCCTGGCCCCAGGGTATATTTCTCCTTGGAGCTGTTTAAAGAAAATTCTAAGTAATTCCCAGATAGAGCCCCTCTCATAAGATCTGTCCCCGCTCCAGTCACTTAAAGATTCATTTTAGGGGTATGGATACTGGGCAAATCAATTTAGAGAAGTACCCTACTGACCTTTCCGGGTATCCCTACCCAGGGTGGATCCCACAAGGTTACCTGTCTGGGAGCTTCCCTTGTCTTTGGAGGGACATGGGTTTAATTATAGGCTGACCTGAGGGACAGGCTGGGTTGGTCCTAGTGGATTGAGACAGGATTTGGAGTTGATCCAAGAATGCTTCCTGGAGAGTGGTTTCAGGACTTTTTTAAGGAGTTGTAGGATGAGGAGGCAATATGACAAGAAGGAAGACAGAAGTTGCTGCATCCGAGAGTTGATTGTGAAGTGTGAGTTTCCAGAAGTAGATTTTTAAATCATGAATGAAAACCCTTCCCTGCGCGCTATGCCGGGGATTCGGAGCACATGGAGGGTGGATCTGTCTCTCAGTTCTTTTTTTCCTCCCGTTATTCTCAAGCAACACCTCATTGGCTTACTTCTGTCTTACAGGTTATTCTCCCACGTCGGTGACCCCTTCCTGGATGACCCCCTGCCCCGGGAGTACGTCCTCTACCTCCGTCCCACTGGCCCCTTAGCACAGAAGCTTTCCGACTTTTGGCAGCAGTCGAAGCAGATCTGTGGGAAGAACAAGGCACACAACATCTTTCCCCACATCACACTCTGCCAGTTCTTCATGGTGAGCGGCAGCCCCCCCGCCCCTGGGAAGCCTGACTCCCAGGATCCCAGCCGACCCTTTGGGACCTGGAACAAAGGGGGAGCCTCGCAGGAAGATGGCAGGAATAGTCACGGGCTCTTAGAGCTGGAGGGACCTTCAAGGGATCAGTGAGGTCCACCATGAGCCCCTCACCGCAACGCTTCCTAGTTTTATCTGCTGAGGCCCAGGAGCACCCCAGGATGGGGGCAGCACCAGATTGTAACCCTCTGTGAGACACACGGGTCTGGCTGCTGGAATAGAATCACTGATCTAGCTTCACGCTCGTTTGCTGTCTACCCTCTCCACTCTTACGACAACCAAAGAGGAGGAACTAAGAGCAGGGAACAAAAAAGGTAGTCTATAGACAGGCAAAGCCATTTCCTATCCATGGGGGTTTTTTTTCCCACTATATATTTCTAGAGAATGCAAAGATATTTACTTGCTGTTGTTACCTAGTCTATAATCCTAGCTGTCAGGAAGCTTATCTACTGACAAATTTTTTTTTTTTTAAGAGACAGAGTCTTGCTCTGTCACACAGGCTGGAGTGCAGTAGCATGATCTCAGCTCACTGCAACCTCCATCCCTCGAGTTCAAGCGATTCTTCTGCCTCAGCCTCCCAAGTAGCTGTGATTACAGGCATGCGCCACCATGCCCAGCTAATTTTTGTATTTTTAGTAGAGACGGGTTTTCACCATGTTGGCCAGGCTAGTCTTGAACTCTTCACCTCAAGTGATCCGCCCACCTTGGCCTCCCAAAGTACTGGGATTATAGGTGTGAGCCACCGCGCCTGGCCTCTACTGACCAATATCATCCCCCTCACTATCACACATGTAAATACATTTTGTGTACTTTAGCTCTCTGTGGTAATACAGAAGAGTTGATTTATCTCCATACATTCAAGACCAAACAAAGTGGTTGCATTTTAAAACATTTTTATAAAAAATATTTTGCTTTATTCCCCAGATATATTCTCTCTCTTTTTCTCTCTCTCAGGTAATAATATGTTCCTAACACCTTCTCTTTTACCATTCAGCCTGAAAATCAAAGTGACTATCATTTCCTCTTAGTCATCCCAGGATCTTTCTCAAAACCCTTCAGAGTTTGAGAGACATTCATTCTTTTTTCCAATGCTCTCAGGAAGGTAGGAGGATGATGTCACAGCTCTCTGGGACTCATTCTTCCAAACTCTCATGAGGGTGGATGTAGAGTCAACTTCTGATCATCTAAGAGGAAAAGAAAAGGTACAGATGATACAAAGTAGTAGAAAACACGCAGCTTCTCCTGGGATGCTGCACTCTCTCCTGTCACATTCCTTCATTTTTTTTTTTTTTTTTTCACAAGCAAGGAGAACTTTGATTTTTTTTTCTTTTTCTTTTTTTTTTTTAATTGATATATAGTCTCTCTCTGTCACTCAGGCTGGAGTGCAGTGGCGTGATCTTGGCTCACTGCAACCTCCACTTCCCAGATTCAAGTGATTCTCCTGCCTCATCCTCCCACGTAGCTGGGACTACAGGCACCCGCCACCACGTCTGGCTAATTTTTGTATTTTTAGTAGAGATGGGGTTTTACTATGTTGGTCAGACTGGTCTCAAACTCCAGTCCTCAAGTGATCCGCCCACCTCGGCCTCCCAAAGTGTTGGGATTACAGGCATGAGCCACTGCGCCCAGCCTGATTTTTTCTAATTGATAAAAATTGTATACATTTATGGTGTATAACATGATGGTTGAATAAATGTGTGCATTGTGGAGTGCCTAAACCAGGCTAATTGTATATGCATTACCTCGCATGTTTATCATGTATTTATGGTGAGAACAAAATCTACTCTCTTCGTAATTTTCAAGCATACAATACGTTATGATTAACTATAGACACTAATAGCATAATAATAGGTCCCTTGAACTTAATTTCTCCTGTCTAAGTGAAGTTTTGTGTCCTTTGACCAACATCTCCCCAATCTCGCTCCCCTTTCTTGCTTTGTGCCCGACCAGTCCTACAGCATTTTGGCTGGGTTCACAGGGGCCACTTCAGAGCAAGGAAAGGAGGGAAGAGGTTGCGTGTTCCCCAGATTAATCCACCAGTTGGGTAATCTGTGTCTGAGTAATTGGAGGTCTGCAGTTCCTCTCTCTCCCCACAGACGGGGGTGGTGGTTAAGTAATTGCATTATCAGCCTCCTCCAGTTTCTGGGGAGAGGATGCCAATGTTAAGTAGCAGCAGACTTCCATCTCCCCTCGTCTCTAAGTGAAGACTGCCTGTTTTCCCTGCCAGTGCGAGGACAGCAAGGTGGATGCCCTGGGGGAAGCCCTGCAGACCACGGTCAGTCGCTGGAAATGTAAGTTCTCCGCCCCGCTGCCCCTGGAGCTCTATACGTCCTCCAACTTCATCGGCCTCTTCGTAAAGGAAGACAGTGCGGAGGTCCTCAAGAAGTTTGCTGCTGACTTTGCTGCAGAGGCTGCATCCAAAACCGGTGAGCAAACAGCTGCCAGGCCAGCCCTGGGCCCTGTCAATCAAAGAGCTGGAAAGGAAAAGGGATAGGAAATGGTGGTAGAGGAGCAGGATGGGGTCAGGAGGTGGAGGGCCCTGCAGGAACGGGCACGTGTGACAAAAAAGCAGCCTTGTCCTGCAGCACCCCACGCCTTTTTGCTCCCTTGTAAAAATGTTCAACTCCTTTTCTGCTAACCTGGAGAGACCGTCTAAGGCTTATTCCCTAACTCCCAAGTTGAAGCTTCACAAATGACTTCCATACGGAACTAGAAATGTATTTCTTTGTAGCACCACCATCTCCTCCTATTTCAGAATTAAAGAAACATCCTTTCTCCCTCCCAAGCAACCGCCCATGTAGGTGTTTATCTGGGTCTCACTGTTTACTCCACGACAATCCAGATCTTTTCTCAGTGGGTAGCACAGGATAGAGAGAAGAGTGGAAGCACTTCGTATTATATCACAATAAAATCCACTGAGCCAATACCCTTCAACTTGCTGAACACCATTAGATAGGACCCCAAGCCCCAAGAGTCTGTCTAAAAATGTAACCCCTTCCAGATGTCTCCTGCTCTTCTCATGGGAGCTTTTAGCTCAGGGCACCTGAGATTTCCTGTCAAAGGAATTAGCTTAAAGCTCGAGGCAGGAGACACGATGGAGGTGACAAGAGGGAGAAGTTTGCAAAGCTCTCGTGTCTGGCTACAGGTGTGGACAAGCTCACTTAGCTCAATGACAGCAGGGAAACAGACAGACAACCAGGTGCGGGGAGAGCCTCTTGGCTCCCTCCAGCATGAAATCACAATTGGCAGGTACTTACTGGTCACCTACTATGAGGATTCCTCCTACATGAGGAGTGCAACGGGGAAGAGAACAAGAAGTGGTTTCTCCTGGCCAGGCCCTGTGTAACATCAGCTCTGAAAAGAGAAAGGGGTGGTTCCACCGTCATGGAAGGAAGGAAACTTGCCCTGAGACGATGTTGATCAGGGCAATGGAGGAAAGACCGGCAGGTGGGCGGGTGGCAGGAGCACAGGCAGGCAGGCATGAGGAGGGTGTGAGCAGAGGACAGTGGGGAGGCTGCCTCGGCCAGAGTGGACGGTGCAGGATGCACAGTGGAAGCCAAGTGCTGAGTGCAAAGCTGGAGGAGACCTGGAACTCCCCTACCCCTAATTTTATGGAGTGCCAGAGAGGGGGAAGACCTGAGCAAAGCCGCACAGTTTGCTCCTTAGCCTTTTGGCCTATCCCTCACCTGCCATTGTTCCCTGCTGCTATTTTCATCACCATTTCAGGCCCTTTGGGGGCCTGAGATTCCTCTTTACCAGAAAAGCCCCACACAGGGCTTGGGACTTATGAGTGTGATGGGGGCTCAGCATCACTGCAGGATCACAGCGCTCTCAGAAGGAACACAAGGACCTTAAGACCCCTCTGTACCTGGGGAGGGGGCCTCTTTAGACTCCGCAACCCCCACCCCCACCTCTTCCTCTCCCTCAGCGACGGGACTAGTCTCTGGGTCCTGACTTCAGTGAAACCTGACATTTCATAGGAGCTTAATATTTCAGAGAAAGAGCATAACAGAGAGGCAAATTATTTCCTGTTCTTATCCCTCAATCTCAAGGAAATGGCTTTCTCTCATCACACAGTAGTTATCGTCAGAACCACTAAATCCCCACAAGGACCAAAACTAATGTCAAAGCCGCAAAACCCAAATCCTTCACAAATGAGAAAAGCAAGCCTCAGCCAGGGCCGCAGCAGATTCTTGGAGTGCATACTGAGCGAGAAGCAGTCGAAGCCCCAGCTTTCCCCGTGGGAGGTGGGAAGAGCCAGTCCCTCTCCAAGATCCTGCTGTCATGAAGAACTTGGCCAGCTTCGTTTCTCTGCTGTTGTGTGGCCCCCTGGTGGGGATGTGGAGAACTGGATGACCCTGCACAGCTTAGCTGGTCCAGCTCCTTGTTACCTAGCATAGAAAGCCGGCCACCATGTCTTTGCCCTGGAACTTGGTATTCTCCAGTTGTTGGCAGGCCCAGATATAATCAAGAAGATTTAGTGTCGTCCTCCATTCAAAGTGGTCAAAGGAGATTCATTCATGTGCATTTATTCATTTAACAAGTACTGAAAACCTGCATGATATGCTGAGTAAGGACACAGTGTAAGCAAGAGACAAAAACCTTGTCTCATGGGACTTACACCAAAGAAAGGCAATGCAGTATAAAAGAAAAAGTACTTAAAACCGAAATGCTCAATTTCTGCTTCTATCTTGGGCCACTAATTCTCTGTGTGACTTGACCAAGCCCCTTAAATTCTCAAATTCCCTAATTTCTTCTAGTTGCAACTTCTTCATTATTCTAGCTTGTACAATAGATGATTCTCCCTCACTGAAAATACAAAAGAGGCCAGGCATGGTGGTTCACACCTGTAATCCCAGCTACTCAGGAAGCTGAGGTGGGAACATCACCTGAGCCCAGGAGGTTGAGGCTGTGGTGAGCTGTGATCATGCCACTTAACTCTAGCCTGGGCAACAGAGCAAGACCGTGTCTCAAAAAAAAAAAAAAAAAAAAAGTGCAAGAGAAAGAAAATTTAAAAAGCCATTCCCTCATGTAGGTAGGGTTGTTTTGTTTTGTCTCTTGGGGTATCTTAGAATAAGTCCGTATACTTTAAATGAGTATGTCTCAACTAAGGGTGATTTTGCCTCCCAGGGTACATTTGGCAATGTCTGAGGTCATTTTCGGCTGTTACAGCTTGGAGAGTGCTGCTGACTTCTTGTGGGTAGAGGCCAGGGATGCTGTGAAACACCCTATAATGCACAGGACAGCCCCCCACAAAAAATAAGTATTCAACCCAAAATGCTGTTGAGAGAAACCCTGCATTAAACTTTGAAAATATCCATCTTTTTCCCCTCATTTCTCCATCAATCTCACCCAGAAGCTAAGAGACCTAGCTCCAAAATGAGGGGAATATAGCCTTGGGAGTCATGCAGTTACAAAACATGCTTTGTATTTCTACACAAATTATTTCATCACTGTAGGTCATAGTACCCTCGTCTCAATGGTGGGGCTGGTGACCAGCCACTGGAATGGTTGTGAGAGGACTTAACTAAAAGGACTGCCCTCAGCCAACCCGTAGCTCCTAGAGGAAAGCCATATGGTGGCTCTTTATCTCTTGAACAGTGGCTCGGTTCAGAATCTCTTGCCATCTCCTTACCCCCTTATTCTACTGCTGTGAAGGAGAGAAACATCTTTTGTCTTCCTTGTTATGTGGGAAGCAGAAAATTTCTCAGGGTACCTTTCTAAGCCTTTCCTTAAGTCTTCACCATTGCTATGATCGCCACCTTTTAATTACTGACTTTTTTCTTCCTTTTTCCAGAAGTGCATGTGGAACCTCATAAGAAGCAGCTACATGTGACCCTGGCTTACCACTTCCAAGCCAGCCACCTACCCACCCTAGAGAAACTGGCCCAGAACATTGACGTCAAGCTAGGGTGTGACTGGGTGGCTACCATATTTTCTCGGGATATCCGATTTGCTAACCATGAGGTAATGTCTCACTGTGGTTCCAGAAGCTACCAGGTGCAGGATGCGATCAGAATCAGCAGCTCGCTGCTGCAGGGAGATGGGTACCTACAGGGGAAAAATGGAGCAAGCACCTAATGGAGAGTCCGTTGGCCCAGGATTGTGTCCAGCCTCTGCCTGGCTCCCTGGGAGGCTTCCAGCGTGCCTCCCTCCTTTCTGGGTCACAAGTGGCTCATCTGGGTAACATAGTTCTGTCTCCCCTGCCAATCTTACCCCAGCGAAAAAGAAATGAAATGAGAGAGAATAAATAAAAAATATATTGGAAAATTTTTAATATTATATAAATTTATGGTGTTAATGGAAGACATCATTTTGACCTTAGGTGAGTTGAAGAACACATAAATACAAACAAAAACAAAAACCTTGCAAAGACATAATCAACATATATTTGCTGTGTATCTGTGTCATGCGAAGTACCATGTTGCATACTGGAATTTTTAAATGTGGTCCTGTCCTCAAGGAGCTCTGAGGACAGACACGCATGAAAAGAAAACTCAAACCACCTGTTGTGAGAGTCTTTGCACATCCCAGTGGGAGGCCTGAGTGAGGAAACTGAAGAAAGATTGGCACAGCCCTACCATCCTTCCTTTGAGGGAATCAACATTGCCTTCTAGACAAGTATGTGACATCTTGGAAGCATAATATTGCCTTTTTTTTTTTTTAAATGGAGTTTCACTCCTTGTTGCCCAGGCTGGAGTGCAATGGTGTGATCTTGGCTCACTGCAATCTCTGCCTCCCGGATTCAAGCGATTCCCCTGCCTTAGCCTCCCAAGTAGCTGGGATGACAGGCGCCCGCCACCACACTGGGCTAATTTTTTGTATTTTAGTAGCACCAGGGTCACCGTGTGGCAGGCCTGGCTCTTGAATCAAGGTGATCTGCCGCCTCGGTCTTCCAAGTGCTGGGATTCAAGCATGAGCCCACCCGCAACCCGGCCGATAATTTGTCTTTTTCTATCCCTGGACGGAGAAGCTGGACACAAACATTAGTGATCTTCAGTAAACCCCTTTAAGGCCGAGATCAAGCGAGAAGCCAAGTATTTTGACCATAAAGACGGGGGCGCGACCTGTCTTGAAAGAAACTACATCATAGCCCGGCCATGGGTGGCCTGTACCTATTATCCCAGCACTCTTGAAGGATGAGGGCAGAGGTATTGGGCTTGAGACCAGGAGTTCCCATACCAGCCTGGGCAACATAGTAGAACTGTATCTCTCCCACCACAAGAGACCTCATTCGTGTGTTAAAAAGTGCATTCCACTTTAAGCCTACATTTATTAAAGCAACATTAACATTTATTTCAATTTTCAAGCGCCCAAAGGCGAACTGTATTCTGTTAGTATTGCATAGCCTTATTTAACATCTCTTTGAGGGCTTCTTTTAAAAAAAAAAAAACAACCATGAGAACATTAGAACCACCAGGGCTGAGAGCAGCACAAGCTCTTGTTTTGGAAGTGGAGAAAGCCAACCCACAATCCAAGGGTTCAGGCTCAGCGTGCGCCCTGTGAGTGCAGGGCGTGCAGCTTGTCTGACTTGCTCATCGGGGAAATGTGTGTCCTCCCTTTTGAGTCATTTGAGCAAGGTTTCCCTGTTAAGATTGCCTTTGAGCAGACTGGGCCTGATCTTACTAAGAATTCCTGCATCTCAACGGCCGCGGCTCGGTGCTCACGCCTGTAACCCAGCACTTTGGAGAGCGAGGCGGGCGGATCCACAAGGCAGGAATTGAGAATCAATTTTGGGCTCTGCAACCACGGTGCAACCCCGTCTCTATAAATACCAAAAAATTAGCTCGGGCAAAGGTGGCGGGGCCGCCTGTAGTCCCAGCTAGCTCGAGGATGGCTTGAGAGAAGAATGACGGTGAACCGGGAAGGCAGAGCCTTGAAGTGAGCCCAGATCGCACCACTGCACTCAGCCTGGGTGGACCAGAGCGCAGCGAAACCTCTGTTCTCAATAAAACAAAAAAAAGAACTCTGACATCTCCTAGAGTCACTTAGAACTAGCCCTGAAGATAACAAAGGAGGTGTGGCTGGTTGGACTCCTTCTGAGGGCAAAGAAAAAAAAAGTCAAGGGTTGCATACAGATGACCTCTGAGAAGTCACCTTTCTAAGAGAAGGAAGGTGGCAGTGGAATTTTACAAGGAATATCCTCTAATCAACACTGTCCTCCAGTTAACTCAAAGGGTAATTGCTTTTCTGCCTGACCCACATTCTGCTCAACTGGCATGGAAGGAAAAAGGCAGCAAGCGCCCACGTGAATTATGTTCTAAAAATAACGTGGCCTCTTTTATCTCTTATTTGTAAAAGCTCATTTATTACCGTTCATTCTGATAAAGCTCTCCTCGGCCCCTTTGGACTGGACCTCTCCCGTGAGGTCTTTCGGTCCTACCTGAACCCTCTTCTTACCTGCCTTCTTCAACGTGCCCCCAGGAGGCAGTTTTGATTGACTGTTCCAGTGAGGGGACAGATGTCCAGAGAAGGAGAGTGGTTTAGGCAAGGACACTCTGGCAAGGCACCATGATGCTAAGGAAAGCTCCAAGGCCTCATCCCTCTGCTGTTTAGATTCTCACTCGATTTGGACACGCGGATCCTCATTTGTATTTCACATAGGCTCTTTCATGTTAGTGATTACGTTGGGCCATGCCAGTTTAATATACCAACCAATAGAAATCCAGAGGAAGTACAGGGTGATCCAAAAAGCATCAATTTTGGAGTCCAGCACACTTGGCTTCAAATCCTGGCTCCATCACTTTAGCAAGGGTTAAATTCACTTTGACAACTGGTACAGATCTCCAGTCCCTAGTTTTCTCATCTGTAAAATGGTGACAATGTTTTGCTAGATGGTTATGAAGACTAAATAAAGAAGATGTATGGAAAGACTTTAATGTAATACCCAGCACAAGGTGGGTGCAACAGCAACAAAAAATGGCTGCAGCTATTACTGTGAGTGAGAATAAAAAGGGCTCCGAAGACATTTCAGCTCCTGTATTCACACAGGGCTGTGGCTGCCTTTCACTCAGCAAACAGAGTTTCCTCCCACTGTAGTAAGGGAGGAAAAACATACCTGAGGTGGATTCAAGAGTTCGTTTTGTTTTTTTCTTTAGCTAGAGTCTTGCTCTATCACCCAGGCCAGAGTGCAGTGGTGCAGTCTCGGCTCACTGCAACCTCCACCTCCTGGGTTCACGCCATTCTCCTGCCTCAGCATCCTGAGTAGCTGAGACTACAGGCGCCCGCCACCACACCCGGCTAATTTTTTGTATTTTTAGTAGAGATGGGGTTTCACCATGTTAGCCAGGATGGTCTTGATCTCCTGACCTCGTGATCTGCCCGCCTCGGCATTCCAAATGCTGGAATTACAAGCATGAGCCACGGCGCTGGTCCTGGATTCAAGGGTTCTTAGAGTACAGGCCAGGCACAGTGGCTTACACCTGTAATCCCAGCACTTTGGGAGGCCGAGGCGGGCGCATCACCTGAGGTCAGGAGTTGGAAACCAGCCTAGCCAACACAGTAAAACCTTGTCTCTACTAAAAACACAAAAATTAACCAGGTTTGGTTGTACACACCTGTAGTCCCAGCTACTCCGGCGGCTGAGACACGAGAATCGCTTGAGTCTAGGAGGCAGAGGTTGCAGTGAGCCAAGATCATGCCACTGCACTCCAGCCTGGGCAACAGAGCAAGACTCCATCTCACCAAAAAAAGAAAAAAAAAAAAAAAAAAAAAGAAGAGTTCTTAAAAGTAGATGGCAAACATAAAACAAAATAAGTAGAATGTAATATAAATTAGGCTTGTGTTCTCATATCTCTCAAACTTAGGCTAAGGTTTTTAATCTGCTTTTGGTGAGTGAGAAAGGGCAGTGGGGACATGGGTCCCAGTTATAATTTTAGATTTGCTACCATGCCTTAATTCTTTCATTGTTCATTCAATAAATCGAAGCTACTTATTTGCCAGCTTCCCTATGCCTAGGACATATTGTCTCTACCTTTTGCTGTGCCTCAGTTTTCCTGGGGATAACCTAGAAATAGAATGAATACCCACCTCCCCTGTGTGATAGAACAAGTGAGGACTTCTCTGAAATCGCATTGAGTTTCTCAAGGGAAAGGCACTACTGGGCCAAAGGCATTATTAGCCAAGACCATGCTGTGCTTGAACATTTAAGGAACACGAGTTTAGGCTTGTTTCCCTGTGACTCGGTGCCTTTCTCCACCTTGTCCCAGAAAAAAAAAGAATGTTCCTTTTCATGGGACGTCACACATTTAGCTTTGCAGTTTATGAGATTTTGCGTGAATTTTTTTTTCCCTTTAAGCTGATTTAACAATCCCACAGAAAACCTTCCTGGCTTGTTTGGAGAGGTGGTTTAAGTGTGTATGAGGCAGAGGGACAGGAAGAATAAGGAGGAATCAGAGCAGGAAGATCTAGAACTGAAAGATGCTGGAGTCAGAATTAGAGAAACAAACAGGCGCCCTACATAAAAGGAGAATCAGAAATACAGCAGTACAAATGAGCTCCCTGCACAATCACTCTCATCCTCTGAAAAGAATCACACCTTAAAGGCTCCTTTCTTTAGAGATTTCCAGAAGGAAATTCTCTCTTCATAACATGTTCTGGTGTATCACCTTGACATCAACGAGCCAATTAGTTCACAGGCCCACCCAGCGCAGGGTCCAGGGATCAGGGTCGGCTGGAAGGAAGGATGTGACCTGGGAGATCAGGTGCTCTGGTTCTGTAGAAATTATTATGCCCCGGCTCATGCCTGTAATCCCAGCACTTTGGGAGGCTGAGGCGGGAGGATCACCTGAGGTCGGGAGTTCGAGACCAGCCTGACCAACATGAAGAAACCCCGTCTCTACTGAAAATACAAAATTAGCCCGGCGTGTTGGCTCATGCCTGTAATCCCAACTACTCAGGAGGCTGAGGCAGGAGACTCACTTGAACCTGGGAGGCAGAGGTTGCGGTGAGCCGAGATCACGCCATCGCACTCCAGCCTGGGCAGCAAGAGCAAAACTCCATCTCAAAAAATAAATAAATAAATAAATAAATAAATAAATATGCCCCTTCGGTGCACAAGGCTCTGTCCTAAGGTGTTTTCTTAGATTGTCTCATTTAACTTTTATAGTCTTAAGTATTCTTTTATAGATGAGAAAACTGAAGCCAAAGTTAGAAATATGCAAGTGGAGACCAGAATACATAGCATCCAACTAATGGCTTTGAGACCCTAGGAAACAGTGAAAGCTATTATAGCTTTCTCCGTCTTTATGTCCCTTGTGAAGCAAATTAGATAGGAAATATTTTCCTTACTATTGAGGTTTCCCACTATTAGTAACAAAAAATACTAAAATAAATGTTTTCTGCAGCACCTTCATGCCTGTATCTGTGATGTTAATAGGTACAGGGAAGGAAGGCAAAAAGAAGAATAAATAGCCAACTGGCATGGCCTGTTTTTGGCCTAGGGGCTGTTTTGGAGCACAAAGTAAGAAGGTTTTCTCCATCTGATGAAAGCTGGCTACATGCTGACACAGACACTGATGTCTAGACATTTTTCTTTCAGGATCTTTGTTAAAACTATAGGTTTAAAGAACTCTCCTTTAAGGCAAGAACCATGTCTGGTTTAAAGAGCTAAGTTGGCCAGGCGTGGTGACTCACACCTGTAATCTCAGCAGTTTGGGAGGCCGAGAGAGGGGGATCACCTGAGGTCAGGAGTTCGAGACCAGCCTGGCCAACATGGTGAAACGCTGTCTCTACTAAAAATACAAAAATTAGCCAGGTGTGGTGGCGGCTGCCTGAAATCCTTGCTACCAGGAAGGCTGAGGCAAGAGAATCACTTGAACCCAGGAGGCGGAGGCTGCAGTGTGCTGAGATTGCAGCATTGCACTCCAGCCTGGGCGACAAGAGTGAAACTCCATCTCAAAATAATAATAATAATTCATAAATAAAGAGCTAAGTTACATAGAAAGAGGGGTACTTCATTCCCTGAGCCTTCCTGTAGGAGAGACACTCCACCTGGCCCATCCGTAACCCCCATATGGAAGACTGGCTTTCCGTGAGCTGGGTTGCAAGTGTCTATCATGGTGACTATCAGATGAAGCAAGGGAAACTAGGTCCAAGTCCATTTATATAGCAGTTGGCCAGCGAGCCTACAGGATTTCAGGTCAGTTTCCAAAAACGATACTTGAATCCTGATGGGAAATCTAGACATGCCTGAAGAAAAGTACGGAACCATTTCTAGCACCAGGCATACACCTGCAGTACTCTGAAGAGAGACGTGCTCTCTGATAGGAATTCACATCTACTCAGGGCACATCGCCCCCTGGAGGTGTGCAGTATTAATGCAGAACACACAGTCCTGCTCTAAAGGCACTCAGGAGAATGGTGAGGCCTGGGGCTTACTCACCCTCTCTTCCTTTTTCAGACATTACAGGTCATCTACCCCTATACCCCACAAAATGACGACGAGCTGGAGCTGGTCCCCGGGGACTTCATCTTCATGTCTCCAATGGAGCAGACCAGCACCAGCGAGGGCTGGATCTACGGCACGTCCTTAACCACCGGCTGCTCTGGGCTCCTGCCTGAGAATTACATTACCAAGGCTGATGAATGCAGCACCTGGATATTTCATGGGTAAGCAGACACCAAGACCTTTATGCCATTTGAAGAACGTTGCTAAGGCAGACTGGATCCTGGATACACAGGGCAGCAGTAAATGGAGCCCATGGGAAGAAGGCCCTGTGGGTTCCAAGCTTCCGGGAAAGGAGCTGACTTGAGGCATGGGGAAAATGCGAAAGGAATTGCTCTGCTTCCCTCTGCCTGCCCCGTTCGCCATAGTTGTCTGCTTGAGTTCCTGATCGGAGACTAAACCGAGGCTGCATGGGGTCCATCTCTTCTGGCTGAAGGGTGGCATCATCCCAGCACTGCGTCTTCACTGCTTTAGGGCTTCTGTCCACCTTGTCCTGGGTCATGACTCAGGGTGGTCTGACTCCCCGAAGCAGCTGGGCAGATTACTACCCTGCCAGCCAGACCCATAGAGAAGGAGGTTTCAAGAGGCAGGAGCCCTAACTGTATCCTTCATTTGCTAAGTGACCCTGAGCAAGTCCCTAGACACAGCCCGTGCATGCCTAGACAACAAAGACCGCGTCTAAGGGAACAGGCAACTGCCAGACTGAAAAGGGATCCATTTCCCCCTCCCCTCTGCCAGTCTTCTTTAGGGTAATAACTCTCCTCCCATCCCTCATTACTATTTCGCTCCTATTCCATACTGGTCCCGTGTTCAGTGGCCAACTTTGTTCCAATAGAGAAAATAGAAACAAAAGGCATCTTCTCTTTCTTAGCTGGAGTAGCTCGAAGCCAGCGCTTCCCTGGCACACTGGGGCATCTAGCCAGGGCCTGCGTGCTGGTTTGTTTTCCTCCCTCTTGTTTTTGTCATGTGGCAACATGGCTGAGAGGCAGAAGCCCTGAGCACCAGCTGCTTGGTGGCTAACATTGTTATTATCACCATAAAGGAGAAGCAGAGAGAAATGATTTCATCAAGTCTTTTGCCTGGAAGGAGAAAATAAAGGTCCCCTACCCTAGTGAGCCACAAACAGACAAACCACAAATCCAAAGATGGGAAATAATATTTTCTTCCTCAATAACCCCACCCAGCAATCCCTTCCCCTCTCTTTCACTCTGCTCCCACCTCAGCCCAGCCCGTGAGCCTGCAGAACCGGATGGCACAAAATTAGAGGTCAGAGTTGTCTCATGTTCCCCAAGCATTTGCTTTTTCAGAAGTGCTTTGGAAGATCAAAATATATAAGCTGGGTTTCCAAAGTCTCCATTTTAATCCCTATAACAACAAGGAAAGCAAAATTGCATGAATCAACTGAGAACTAAAAGATTATTTGCCTGACAAAGCATAGTTCTCAGATCTATTATTTTTTATTTTACAGTACTCGGAGTTGCTGTTTTATCAGATCTCTTTCTTAAAAGTGGGTGTATGGCCAGGTGCGGTGGTTCACGTCTGTAATCCCAGCACTTTAGGAGGCCAAGGTGGGTGGATCACTTGAGGTCAGGAGTTCAAGACCTGCCTGACCAACATGGTGAAACCCCGTCTCTACTAAAAATTTAAAAAAAAATCAGCTGGGCGTGGTGGCACACGCCTGTAGTCCCAGCTACTCAGGAGGCTGAGGCAGGAGAATCACTTAAACCTGGGAGGTGGAGGTTGCAGTGAGCCGAGATCACACCACTGTACTCCAGCCTGGGCAACAAAGCAAGACTTTGTCTCAAAAAAAAAAAAAAAAAAGGATGTATGTGAGAAGCAGTGCTGATCTCTTAGAGTTCACTCCATCCAAGCCCACTCTTCCCTAAATTACAGCTCAGGCTGACGTACAGGTGAACCTGAGTGACTTCGGTCAGTGCGTCCCAGGGAGGTCTTTGTGTCATCTTTTATTTGAGAGATTACTCATGATGTCATGTCTGTGAGAACAATGTCTGAAATTAAACTAACAGCTTCCCCAGCCAACTCCGTTCAAAGTAGGGAAATAAGTTAGGCATTAGTTTATTGTAATTAAGAATTTGAGACTGGGTTCCAATAGTCTTGGATTTAAACGATAACTCTACCACTTACCAGCTGTGTGGCCTTGGCCAAGTTGCATTACCTCTCTGAGCCTCTGTTTGCTCATCTAGAAAATGGAACTAATCATTGCACTTACCTCATAAGGTTGTTGTGAAGACTGCAATGCCGAGCTTCGCTTTACATGGTTCAGAGTCTGGTGTATAGCGGTGACTATAAAATCACCATTTGCATAATGATGACTTTTGTCTATCTTGTGTTTGCCAGTCCTCACTGAGTGCTCATCAAAGGACATGTGTCTTCCATAAAAGCAATCCTGTAGATGAACTGTACTTTCCTATTTAACCCCAGAGGTTAAATGACTCAAGGAGGAAGAGCCCAGCTTCCTTGTAAGACAGATCTTCTCTCACTCCTAACCCAGGATAGACATCAGGAGGTAGAACCCCAGGGGAATGGCAAGCATGGCCTGGCTGGCATGGTGGGAGTTGCCCAGGGGATCCAGGCAACAAGTCATGATTGGGGGTCAATGAGTTTAACAACACTCCCTGCCAAGTGCTTCTCAGTTCTCTGAGTCCCTCCTAAGGAAATATGTTCTCTCCACACTAACTTGAGTGTCTTACTTGGTTCTAAGTAAGGCAAGTTGATGAAGCCTCCTTGTGTTCTCTGAAGCTGGGTGAGCTGCCTGGCCGCTCGGGCTTAGCACAGGCCTGGCGTGTTGCAGGGAGAAACCAGCTCTCCTGATGCTTGAGATGTTCTGGATCTTAGACCCGGCTTCCTCCCTCCACTGTTCTGAGCAAGAAGCATCTGACTGTTGTCTTACTGGAACTGGCAGCTCCACGCTGTCTCAGAGTGAGTCAGGTCCTTTGATTATAATGACAGTTAAGAAGGGAAAGAGGCTGGCATTCGTCTTGCCATGGGAGCCGAAGGAGGGAGAGAAGGAATCCTATCAGTATCTTTACAGCTGCAATAAAGTAAAGAAACAGACATGTACACGCAAGATGTCAGCACGATTCTAGGTAGCCAGACGTTTTGCACCCTGAAGCTTTGATGAGTCAGACAATAAAACTGGATTTTCTTTTTTTTTTTTATTTTTTCTGAGATGGAGTCTCACTCTGTCGCCCAGGCTGGAGTGCAGTGGTGTGATGTCAGCTCACTGTAACCTCCGCCTCCTGGGTTCCAGTGATTCTCCTGCCTCCGCCTCCTGAGTAGCTGGGACTTCAGGTGTGTGCCACCATACCCAGATAATTTTTGTATTTTTAATAGAGACGGGGTTTCACCATGTTGACCAGGCTGGTCTTGAACTCCTGACCCCAGGTGATCCACCTGCCTCAGCCTCCCAAAGTGCTGGAATTACAGACGTGAGCCACCGTGCCCAGCCAAACTGGATTTTCTTGAACTGTGTGATGTTTGGAAGGGTCTTAGTTTAAAATAAAGTAGAATAGCTGGTCTCTTATACCGTGTGAACGACACAAGATTTCCTTGGGCTACAGTTACTTAAATTTTTCCATAACAGGTTTCACTTGGCAACATATTCAGATGGACTGATACAGGTTTCCTGGTTCCCACTCTGACCTACTGAATCACAGCCTGTGAGGAGCAGAACCCCAGCATGAGTGTTTTTTTTTTAAAGTCCCCTGGTGATTCTGATATGCACAAGTATTCAAAATCAGTTTTTCAGGGCATGAGACTTCTGAGACCTTCGTTTATAAGTAGATAGAACGAGTCTGTCACTTCTAGTGAAAAAGCAGCCACTTCTGAAAGTGAACAGGGTGCTAAGATAAAGTCACATAATTTTTGGAACAAAAATTTACCAGCAACCAGTTAGCTGTATTATATTTGTGAATACAAAAAGTTATTTTCAAAAATAAAATTCTGGGCCAGGTGCGGTGGCTCACGCCTGTAATCCCAGGATGACTTCGGGAGGCCAAGTGGTCAGATCACCTGAGTTCAGGAGTTCGAGACCAGCCTGGCCAACATGGTGAAACCCTGTCTGTACTAAAAATACAAAAATTGCCAGGCATGGTGACGCACGCCTGTAATCCCAGCTACTCCAGAGGCTGAGGCAGGAGAATCGCTTGAACCTTCAGGGTGGAGGTTGCAGTGAGCCGACATCATGTCATTGCGCTTCAGCCTGGGTGACAAAAGTGACACTCCATCTCTAAAATAAAATTCTGATAATACAATGTTAAAAGTGAATAATCCAAAACAGGTGGTAGCCCAGACAGGTTGCTGGGTCAGCAGATGCAAGCCAGGAGTATATGGAGAAAACTGGGATAGATAGCTACCCAAATTGTAAAGAAGCAAGAAATCTATAAAATTTAAATGTTTCCCCTGGACCCTGCTCAGTGATTTCCAAAGATGTTCACTGGATTTGCCTAACAACCACATTTAAATTGCAATGTTTATTAGATAAAGCTTTGTGGAGGTCTTACTATTGACAACAATTTCAGCTTGGCAGGTTTTGACTGTCTTCCTTTCAGCAAGACCTCTTCTTAGGCTTCTGTAGCTATAGTGTTACACTCAGAAATGAGAGTTCTTGGCTCACAGCGCTAAACATCTGGTGAGAATGGTCTTCTCTGAAATAATTCTATTTGTAATCATCTTGTTGGAGGTGTGATTGAGGGGAGATAGGGTTTTGGAGACTGAAGAGGGTAGAATAGGGGACTTTGGCACAATGTTTCCTTGACCGTTAGGAGCCACTGGCTAAGTGGTGGAGATGGTGAAAAGACCCCCCTATCACTCTTCACTTCAGATGGAAATTACCACGGGAAATATTAAAGGCAACAGGGATCATAGATTTCTTTTGAACCAGAAAAACAGCTGCAAACAAATAATTGATATATTGTTATTCTTGAACTTGTCTTTGGCGTGAACCATGCATGGCACAAAATCACTAGGACCCATCCTTGCCCAATGAATATATCTGTCCTCAGTGCAGAAATCCATCTACCTCTAATTTATTTATTTACTTATTTTTATTTTTATTTCTTTTTGAGATGGAGTTTCACCCTACCGCCCAGGCTGGAGTGCAGTAGTGCGATCTTGGCTCACTGCAGCCTCCACCTCCCAGGTTCAAGCGATTCTCATACCTCAGCCTCCCGAGTAGCTGGGACTACAGGCACACATGACCACGCCCAGCTGATTTTTTGTATTTTTAGTAGAGGTGGGGTTTTGCCATGTTGGCCAGGCTGGTCTCGAACTCCTGACCTCAAGTGATCCACCTGCCTTGGCGTCCCAAAGTGCAGGTGTGAGTCACCACGCCCGGCCTACCTCTAATTTATTAACTGCAAGTCTTCAGTATAAAAGAAGGTATTCTTCCTTTAGGAATGGGACCACTCTGGCTCAGCTTCCCTCATCATTGCGCTACCCACAGAGGGCGCTGAGTTAATTCCCACACTCCTGTTGACCCCAGGAGGAAGTGCTGATAACTGCTGGCCAGAGCGTTCACACCTTCCTTATCTTCCTCTGCAGTTCTTATTCAATCTTAAATACATCATCGTCCAACTCTCTCACATTTGGGGATGGAGTATTGGAGAGGCGGCCGTATGAGGACCAGGGGCTCGGGGAGACGACTCCTCTTACTATCATCTGCCAGCCCATGCAGGTAAGGCCGATTGTTAGGATCACACCCCCAACTCTAACCAGGATTCACTGAGAACCTATTTATTAAGTATGAGGCATTGCCCTTGCTATTTCCAAAGGTTCCATGATCTCTTGGGAAGAAAGGACACCAAATTATAAAAGATATACAAAAATTCAAGGCTGGGAAGAGTCAGATGAGCAGTACTGACAGTTACTTCCAACATTTGAAGCTAGGCTCATAAGGAAGGTTGTTCCACAGACATAGGAGGAAATTTTCTCTCTAAAGTAGGAATAATGCCCATAGTTGTATCTGTTGTGTAGTTTGTCACAAAGATAAAATAATAAAATAAGGCTGGCACAATAACTGGCATATAATGAGTGCTCAGTATGTGTTAACTTGTTCAAGAAAGGTTGGAGATGGAAGGAGGCAGGGAGTCGTTGTTGAACAGTACAAATAGAGGCAAGCTGAAAGTTCAAGCATGTTGAGGATCAAGAGAGTAGACCATTGTGGCTGGAGCCCAGGATTTGAATGAAGGAACAATAGGAAAAGAGATGAGAAGGATCATGCCACCATTCCATGTATTAACCTTGTCAGGGCCACTAGAAGCAAATGTGAAGTGCTGGCCAGCACGAAGGAAACTGGAAAAGCTGACTATATCAGAAAGAAGGAATGCAGAAACATCTGCAAGGTTCCATCCAGCAGTTATAGAAGCCAAAGTCATTTGGACAAGCCTTTGACTCGATTTGCCTGTGTCATCACCCAGAGGTAGCAGTTGTCTCATTTTGGGGATCACCAACATATATATAGTCAGACAGCAGAGCCTACATTGTGATTAGAATAGGAAAACAGGGTCTCATTGCTGGAGTGGACCATGAGGACCACTTGGTCTGGCCACACACTTTAGAGAAAAGGTAGACACATTTGTGATCACAGAAGCCCTCACTCCCTGAAGAAGTTGATGAATTGCCCCTTCTAGGGGGGAAGATGTCCCACTAGATGGCTGTCTCTACGTGAATGGCTAGTTTTACCTCTGAGCTGTAACTGAAAGTGTACGGCATGTTTTAGTAATGGCCAAATGCTACTCCTACAAAGGGCAACTGTAGCAACAATAATGCCCTTTTCACAACCCTTCTCATTTTATAAAGACATGCAGTTTATCTTATTTGAGCCTCAAAATAACTTATGAGGTCTGTAGGATGAGTCTTACTGTCCTCACCTAGTCACACCTTGGCAGAACTTTGGTAGGAGAGCTCAGCTCACCTGGCACCTGGCTCCAAGACATGTCCACTTTGCCATGTGAGTCTTCACTGATAGCCTTTCTTTCTCTGTAGCCGCTGAGGGTCAACAGCCAGCCCGGCCCCCAGAAGCGATGCCTCTTTGTGTGTCGGCATGGTGAGAGGATGGATGTTGTGTTTGGGAAGTACTGGCTGTCCCAGTGCTTCGATGCCAAAGGTGAGTTGTTGGTGGGCCTGCTCAGCACTGCCATACCCATAGTGGCCTCTAGGGGGCACAGTCAAGCTACAGTTATCTGGATGGAGTCATTTATAGTTTTGTGTACTATAGAAAATGTCTGTTATCCGTAAGCCCCTCCTGATTGTCTTGAGCTTTAGGGAAGAAGTAAGTGTTCTTGTCCCCATTCTATAAACTTGGATGCCAGGACTAAAGAAGACAGATGTCTTGCCCAAGGCCACATGGCAAAGTCAGCAGCAGCAACGTGCCCTAATCCCATGGCCAGAGCTCCTGCCATTAAACCTCCCGGGTTCGCTGGGTTCCATTTTCACTTGAGTGGCATTTGAAGACACAGAGACTTGCCTGACCAGGGAGTCTCACCTGCCTTAGGGTGCATGGTTATTACCTTCACTGAGAAACTACCTCATGTCACTTTTGTCAGTAGAATGGAAGAGTGAATTCCAAGTCACTTTATGAAACAAAATATCAGCCTTGATATTTTCCATCAGCTCCAGAGAGCTCAATGTGATCTCTTTGGCCAAGAAGGAATGGGGGTGGAGAGTGTCAGGATCAGTAAGGGAGTCCCAAGTAAACAAGAAATGTACGTATCCTCTGTCTAACTTTTTTATTTTTCAGGCCGCTACATACGGAGCAACCTGAACATGCCTCATAGTTTACCTCAGCGGAGTGGTGGTTTCAGAGATTACGAGAAAGATGCTCCCATCACTGTGTTTGGATGCATGCAAGCGAGACTAGTGGGTAAGTATCCTGGAGTGACTGTACTCCAGGCATTTCCTGCCGCCTCCTTCAAAACGCTGGTAACATGGATATGCGGGACCCTTCCTGGGGGCTTCTATAACTTTCCTACAAGTAATAAATTTCCTCAATTCAAAAGGAACTTGCTACACAACCATTAAGTTTAGGACACTGTGCTCAGCCCTGGGTTGGTTGACCAAAGTGAATGAGGTGTGGTCCTTATTGAGGACCTCGTGATCCGGTAATGGCTTGGGTTACTGTGCTCACTGTTGGATGTAGCAGACAGGTCAGCCTCTAGTTCAAGACAGCAGCATCTGCCAGCATGGCTGTGGAAGAGGACAAGAGTGAAGAAGACGGACCTGGACTTGCTGAATTTATAAAGGTCAACTGATCCTTTGAAGATGCCCAGCTCTTTGCAAGCCCATTCCATTACTGCCGCGGGGAGATAGTACTTTCCTGTTCAGTCACTTAGCAGATATGTAGTGCTCACTTACCTTGTGCAAGGTATTGGACTAAGGGAACCCAAGTGTGAGTCAGGGAAACAAACTTATGTGTGGATAAATATCATACAATATGATATACATAGAGCTATGCGTGGTCACCAAATATTATGGGAACACAACAAGACATCTAAGAGGTGAAGAGGTGAGCTGGGAGCTGAAGTGGAAGTTAGCTGGGCAAAGAAGGAGCAGGAGTGAGGAAATGGCATTCTCAGTGGGAGGGACCACATAAACTGTCTGAAGCTTGAGAAACAGCCTCAGGAATGCAGGGGAAACAAAGTGCCTTGTGTCTAGAGTATAAATTGCAAGGCAAGGCAGAGATGAGGCTGGCAAGATGGATAAAGGCAAGTTCATGGAAGACCTTGATCACCATATTAAGGTGCTCGGATTTAATCCAGTAGACAAAAGAACTGGTTTCCAGGCCCGGCGTGGTGGCTCTCACCTACAATCTAGCACTTTGAGAGGCTGAGGCAGGAGGACTGCTTGAGACCTGGAGTTTGAGGCTGCAGCGAGGTATGATCGCACCCCTGCACTCCAGCCTGAATGACAGAGCAAAACCCTATCTCTGAAAATTAAATTAAGAAGAAGAATAAATTTTTTAAAGAAGTGGATTTTATGAGGATAGCATTAAAGTATGAGGTGTTGGGATTTATCTCTGGTGTCTAAGAATATGACATGTTGAGATTTTGGGTAGCACAGAATAAAATTAAAACAAGACCTAATATTCATAAAATAAATCCTCTTTCACAAACTTGAAGCCTATTGTCCTGTTTCTTAATATCTCCTAGCTAAAGGCTTTACCACTTGTTAGCACCAGAAGGAAGGGAAAGAAAAGACAAGAAGGGCTCTGTCACTTGCTCTCACAGGAACACCGATGAGGGGTTTTGTTAGAAACTAACAAAGGCTGACACTACTGGCTCTATGTGAGCCCCAGTTAGGAAAGAAGGGTTTACAGGGGCTTACTGCTTGGCCCCCTCTCACACTGCGAATCGAGGTGAGACTGAGTAAATCCATCAGACTGATTCTTTTGTGGTTTTCTTTGCAGGCGAAGCCTTATTAGAGAGCAATACCATTATCGATCATGTCTATTGCTCCCCGTCCCTTCGCTGCGTTCAGACTGCACACAATATCTTGAAAGGTAAGACTTGCAGGTTGACAAAAACAAGTAGTCCATCCCTCTGTTTCTAGGCAGCCCCACACATAAATTATCTTAGAGTCATGGGACATTTGCCAGTTGAAAGCTTCGAATTTGGAATGAAGCAAGGATTCTTTCAGAAGGCGATCTTTGCCCAAGTCACAAAAACATACTCTGGCAGCCTAAGCGAAATAAAAGGAAGTATACTAATCATGTTTTCTTTGAGAATTTAAAGCGCTCTTGGATGAATCCTAGGCTTGCAAAATGTTTACTTATAGAGTGTGATCCTTTCTTTACACTTAATAGTCAAATAACTTTCCTGTTTTGATCTGTTGTTTGCCTCCTGTGGTGCTCCTAGGAGCCTCAAATCTTAATCATCATTTTTTCTTTACTTAATTGGAAAGACTTTAAAAGCACCATTGCTACCAAGATACTCAACTCTCACCCTAAAATCTGTGGAAGCATGAGTTACAGGTATCTCCATTCTCATTTCATGGGAAGGAAAACTAAAAGGAACAGGATTAGACTGTTTACTTCTACCGAAGAAATGAATGAGCCAGAAATAAGCCAACAAAGAACTTGACACTACGTCTGAGTCTTCTATCCTTTAACCTTAAGTAGACCTCTTCACTACCAGAAGGCATTTATGTATTCAATTTGCACAGAACAACTGGACTACATGCAATATGACGATAACTAAGCAGGGACCATTTCTAGGAAGCCAGCTGCACTACAGTAAAACAGAGCGTTTCTGCACTGCTACTAGTAAATGTTCAGCATTCGATTTTCTGGTAGAGAAAATGAACAATTTACATGATATTCAAATATGATGTTGGATACTCAGAAACTGTCTGAAGTTTCTTGGTAACACCATCATGGAATTTGCTTTAGAAAGAGGAATTATGGGGGCCAGGTGCAGTGGCTCATGCCTGTAATCCCAGCACTTTGGGAGGCCGAGACGGGTGGATCACAAGGTCAGGAGATCGAGACTATCCTGGCTAACCCGGTGAAACCCCGTCTCTACTAAAAAATACAAAAAACTAGCCGGGCGAGGTGGTGGGCACCTGTAGTCCCAGCTACTCGGAGGCTGAGGCAGGAGAATGGCGTGAACCTGGGAGGCAGAGATTGCAGTGAGCCAAGATTGGGCCACTGCACTCCAGCCTGGGTGACAGGGCCAGAGACTCTGTATCAAAAACAAATGAACAAACAAAAAACAGAAAAAGAAAGAGGAATTATGGTAGTCACAGAATTGAATAAATTTTCTTTTTTTGAGATAGAATCTCACTGTGTCACCAAGGCTGGAATGCAGTGGCACAATCTTGGCTCACTACAACTTTCGCCTCCAGGATTCAAGTGATTCTCCTGCCTCAGCCTCCTGAGTGCTGGGACCACAAGTGCATGCCACTACACCCTGCTAATTTTTGTGTTTTGGGTAGAGATGGGGTTTCACCATGTTGGCCAGCCTGGTCTCAACTCCTAACCTCAAGTGCTCCGCCCTTCTCAGCCTCCCAAAGTGTTGGGATTACAGGTGTGAGCTACCGAACCCAGCCTTGAATAAATTATATGGACAATGACTTGTGGCTTTTTTCCTTAAGTCAGATATGACTTAAAGCCAGCGTATATCCTCGGAGTATGGCAGGAGTATGAAACTCATGTGTTAGTATTGCACAAAAATTAAAAACCTTGTCCAAATCCACATGCTTCCACTTCTGTTTAGCTATGTATAGCAGCCAGTAGGAAAGAGAATAACTGATTTATCAGAATTTTTATAACAATTTGGCCTGAGAATATAGAGGCACTTCCTTCATCTTCACTGTATTTTACCCCTAAGGTTTACAGCAAGAAAATCACTTGAAGATCCGTGTAGAGCCCGGCTTATTTGAGTGGACAAAATGGGTTGCTGGGAGCACGTTACCTGCATGGATACCTCCATCGGAGTTAGCTGCAGCCAACCTGAGTGTTGATACAACCTACAGGTAAGCCTGGGAAACTGCTGCTTACTGAGGCCAGTGTGGAAGTGCTTTCTGCACTAGCACTAGGCCAGGTTCATGAAGGAGACAGGGCTGGACATCACCTACAGGCAGTTGTCCATAGTGGTGGAAATCGAGCTACGATTTTGGAAATCAAAACTGGAGAAAAGCCAGCATTTTTTTCATATTTGGCATTAGTGTGGATTAGATTCTCCAGCCTCACCCCCGTGTTGGATTTTTCTGACTTTATTATACCTGCTTCAGTGTAATAAAACCATTTTGCATTCCAGCAATAAGCACCAGCTAATGATGATGCAGTTGAGAAGATGACGATGTCTTGCAGTTTCTACATTTAATTTTTCAAAGCATTTTTAAATCTCTGTATTATCTTTGCTTATTATTGCTATATGCCCAGAATGTAGGTAAACCATTTTTATATATGAGAGAGTTCAAATAACTTGCCTAAAAGTATTTATACATTTAGTGACCACATATAACAATAATAATAATAAGCTTTATTCATCATTTTCCACATGTCCAGCCCCATGCAATCTTCTGGGCAGTCATCCCATTCCTGTTCCTTTCCTTTTCCATTAGACCCAACTGTGCTGGGATTTTAAAAAGTGTTTGTAGATTGCTTACAGCTGAATAATCCGCATGTACACAATTAAGAATTAATAATAGGGCCAGGCGCAGTGGCTCACGCCTGTAATCCCAGCACTTTGGGAGGCCGGGCTGGGTGGATCACGAGGTCAAGAGATCGAGACCATCCTGGCCAACATGGTGAAACCCCGTGTCTGCTGAAAATATAAGAATTAGTTGGGTGTGGTGGTGCGCACCTGTAGTCCCAGCTACTTTGGGAGGACTGAGGCAGGAGAATCACTTGAACCCGGGAGGCGGAGGTTTTGCAGTGAGCCGAGATCGTGCCACTGCACTCCAGCCTGGTGACAGAGTGAGACTCCGTCAAAAAAAAAAAAAGAATTAATAATAACAAGTTGTCAAGATAAGCAGAACTTTCTTATGTGATATCTATTGACCTTTCATTTCAAATACCTACCCAAACCACAAATAAAGCAATGTGCGTTTCTAACTAAGGTAATAAAGAGTATCTTCTTTTTCCATACTCATTTTTTCTGCTCAGCAAATAAGACCTCAGATGACCCCATTAACTAGTTATGTGCTGCTGCTTCTTGTCTGAAAGGAATTAGCATTGCTCAAAAATAAAATTAGATCGATCAACAGGATCCCCCACGAATACACTTCACATTTTGTCCTATCCCCTTTCTGGCCACCGTTTTTCTGCTCTTTGCAGGCAATTAGCAATAAATTGTTGTCTCCGTGCAACAGCCAGCATCCCTTTGGCCTGGAAAGAGGGGGAGTTGCCACCAACATTGGTTAAGTGACTTTCATCATTCACCACCAGTCCCACCCAGACCAATTTGGGTCAACTATGTCTTTGATATTTCCTTTAGGTGTGTTCTGCCATTGCCTCCCAAGCTGCCTTACAAAGGTCTCCAGAATCATCCTACCCGAGCCTGTCAATGTACACTCAGATACACACCCCACCAGCAGTGTGAGCAGAAGGATGAATGCCAGGAACTTGGGGGTCAGGACACAGTCCTGATTCCAGATTGCCTTTTCCTCGCCGGCAAATCAGAATTCAATTCAACCATTTTCTGTTTGGTGAGGGAATTGGGGGAGGAGATGAAGCCTCTAATTTGAAAAATCAGTTGAGAAAGCCAAAGTGTAAGCATGTGAAAGGGACAGCCCTGGAGTTTAATTACCTATGAAATTAATGATGCCAAATGAACAAGCCTTTGGAAGCAAGGAAGTGGTGCCCAAATGATTGAAGACACATGGTGACAGGCAGAAGGGCAAGCCCCGAGAGCCGGGGTAGTGTGAGTCAGGCAGGCTCTGCTGAAAGAGCCCTCTCACCTTGCAACAGGGGTAGGAAGAGAACAGGAGGGAGGTGGGCCTGAAAGCCGAGTTAGGGAAGCTAACCAGGCTGGTGACTAATATTGAAGCATCATCCACAGGCAGCAAGACCAGCCTAGGGCCTGGGGGATTGAAAAGCAACCCTAGCCTTGAGGAGCTGGGCCAGAGGAGCAAGGCAGAAAACACAAAATCCACACGAGCTGGGTGGGGCTTCAGAACGGGGCATGGGACTGGGGCAGGGGACTGGGGGAGGGCATGGATCTGGAGTGTTAGAGGGGAAACAAATCAAACTTTGGTGTGAAGCTCAAAGCACAGGCCTGTGCTTACAACCTGGACCACAGCAAGATGGGAAGCAGAGAGTATATGGAGGAGGATACTGTTTCGGGGATGCCACCTGACTTCCAGAGCACCGTATTCCAGGTTGAGTGGGTGGTGGGAAGGCCACCTGACTGAGGACAGCACAGGGCCCGCAGGTGTGGCTAGCAGCATGACATGACCTGCTGACAGGGGTGAGGAAGCTCTGACTCAGGCCAAGCCCATCAGGGCTCCAGATACTGGAGTCATTCACAGGCTCCACTTGAAGGTGCTGGGAGAAGCCATAGGCAAGAACTGATCAGGAGGAACCAGATCCCAGTATGTCTCCCGCTCTTCACCTACATAAATCTCACACATTACATGGTCTCACCCTTGAAATGACTCCCTGGGCCATACAAAGTGGCCTTTTGTCACTGTGGGGAGGGGACAGGCCTGGGAGATCAGGTGACATAAATGGAGATGGAACTGGGTGAGAGGTGAGGATGGGGAAAGGAAAAGAGGAGAAAGAGCTTGCTCCAGAACAATGAGGTGCAGCCCCAACAAGTGGTGATTCAGGTCTCTACCTATCCCCCAGGGTGTTGTGAGACTCAGAAGGCTGTTTCCTAGGAGAAACATGCATGCTGAGAGAATGCAAGTTTCCTTCAAGTGGAACGGCATCCTTCCTCTCTGGACAGTAAGCCTATGTGCACAGAAGGGCAGGCTTGACAAGGGCACTGTCAGAAGCTGTGTGTGGAGGATAGGCTCACAGGCCAGACCCCAGACTCAGGTTCAAATCCAGGTTCTAAGAGTCGCTAATGGTGTTAGCATAGGCAAGTCAGCTGCAGCCTTTCTGAGCTTCTGTTTTGTCATCCATAAACAACATTTACAAAAGCATTGCTGGGAGGATTAGACTGAAAGAATGCTAGAAGGACACTTGCACAGAGCCTGACACATACGGGAACCTCAGTAAATATTTTGTGCTAATAGTAGCAGTAATAGTATATTCTGATCCAGAGGCCATGTGAATTCATTTTGAGAACTTACCACACCTCTACCAGGCACTAAACACCCAGCAGTGAAAGACAAAATGAAAACTGACAAAGTAAGAAAATTGAAATGACATAGTTGTACCGAGAAAACAAGATAAACATCTTGTGGACCAGAAACAACACAGAAACTCTACATAGTTAAGCAGGGCGGAGGCAAGCAGAGGTGGACCCCAAGGGCATTGGCGACTGGGTTTGAAGACATGCAGGGGCAGCAGGACAGGAAGCCTAGCTTTGATCATCCTCTTCCATGCTGTGTTAGTTCATTTTCACGCTGCTGACAAAGACATACCTGGGACTGGGCAATTTACAAAAGAAAGAGCTTTTAATTGGACTTATACTTACACGTGGCTGGGGAGGCCTCACAATCATGCCAGAAGGCAAGGAGGAGCAAGTCACGTCTTACATGGATTGCAGCAGGCAAAGAGAGAGCTTGTGCAGGGACCTCCCCTTTTTAAAACCATCAGATCAGCCAGGTGCAGTGGCTCACGTCTGTAATCCCAGCACTTTGGGAGGCTGAGGTGGGCAGATCATCTGAGGTCAGGAGTTCAAGACCAGCCTGGCCAACATGGTGAAACCCTGTCTCTACTAAAAAAAATACAAAATTAACCAGGCGTGGTGGTGCATGCCTCTATTCACAGCTACTCGGGAGGCTGAGGCAGGGGAATCGCTTGAACCCAGTGGGTGGAAGATGCAATGAGTCAAGATCAAGCCATTGCACTCCAGCCTGGGCAGCAAGAGTGAAACTCCGTCTCAAAAATAAAAAACAAAAAAAACAAATAAAAAATAAAATAAAAATAAAATAAAAAATAAAACCATCAGATCTCATGAGACTCATTCACTGTCATGAGAACAGCACAGGAAAGACCTACCCCCATGATTGAGTTATCTCCCACCAAGTCCCTCCCACAACATGTGGAAATTCAAGATGAGATTTGGGTGGAGGACACAGCCAGGCCCCCAAGCCGGTAGAGGACACACAGTATCACATGCCTTTGTAGATTGTATAGTAATCATCATTTACATCACTAGCCTCTTCACCCCCAACCACAGACAGAGATCTTCTCTAGCACAGAAATTGGGTTGTCTTCATCTTTATGCTCTGCACTTCTCTTTGTGCCAAGTGTACGGTCTGTGTTCAAAATAAGAGAGAAATAAAAGGAAAAGGCTGGTGAAGGGTTATAAACTCACAAAGAATCAGATGGACCTAATATCTGCTTTTAAAACCTATCCTTGCAGCTCTTGAGGAGAGGCCTGGGAAATCCCCACTGATGTAAATAGGTTGAGGGTTCCCATCTCTGCTCTGCTTTGTATTAGCTATGTGACTAGGACCATCAATCAAGGGCTTATATGTTATCCTGTGAATGAGACTTGCACTGAATGTCTCATTTTTCACCTGGTCACTGTGACGCCATACACGTAGCTGTTATTTCTGTACATTTCCATTCCATGTTCATACAGTGGAAATACCCTTCCCTATACCTTTCTCCTTTCTAGGGAAATGGATAAGCAAACAGATCTATGGGATCTTTAGAAAGGCCTTGAAATAAAAGTTTGGATCTTCCTTTGTCTTAAGATCAAAATGTTTTCATTTCCTTTGTTCATTTTTCTATTACAGACCTCACATTCCAGTCAGCAAATTAGTTGTTTCAGAATCCTATGATACTTATATCAGTAGAAGTTTCCAAGTAACAAAAGAAATAATAAGTGAATGTAAAAGTAAAGGTAAGTGGTTATTATTCTGAGCTCCATCTTTACATACGTGATTATTTCTCTATAATGGTTAATAGGCTATTCAAGATGTTTCAACTTGCTTTGGCTAACCAAAGAAATGTATTTCCAGATTTTCTTCCAGATACTTTTACATTAAATGTGTAATATTCTGTGAGTATCTAAAATGGTAGATATTCCAGGGGTTTATACCAGACTTAGTTACTATTCTTAATGACTTAAATTCTGCATTATAGCTATTCTTCTTGCACCCTGTGAGATTCCCTCTTACAATTTCCAAAGGCTCTAGCATGCCACTGTTTTGCCTATCATTGATCTAGCAGGATGCACACCTACACACAACACTCCTACACACATACACACACCTTCCCTGCTATCACCAAGAGCAGTGTTCTGTAAGGCTCAAGTGTGTTTGCTATTGAATTTTCTAAACATTGAGCTCAAATATTTAACATGTAAGATTGTTCACTATAAATTTTTTAGTGAAAAAGACAGATTGCAAAAAAAAGTGTGGACATTCCCTTCATCTCTTTTTTTTTTTAAGTTAAAATACTTATATTCAAATGGTAGACAGCCATGAGCAACAGTATTATGGATGATGCCCACCTTCCAGTTTTCATTGATTAGCCAGTCACTGCCATAAAGGTACACAACATGTTCTATCAACCAGAAAGTCTCAAGTACTCACAGTTCTACAGTGGGAGCATTTAAAACTCTATTAGAAGGAGTAACCCAGAGAGCCCTATGGACCTACAGCAGTTCTGTATCTTGATTGTCATGGTGTTACACAAAGCTACACATATGATAGAATTGCATGAACTGTATCGTCACATACACACAAACTACTGCTTGCACACCTGCTAAAATCTGAATACACTGTGTGTATTGCACCAGCGTCCATTTCCTAGGTCTGATACTGTACCATAGTTATGTAAGATGTTACCATTGGAGGGAGCTGGGAGGAAGGGTTCATGGGACCTTGCTGGTATGTATGTATATGTATTATATGTAGCCCTCCCATAAGTCAGTAATTATTATTATTATTATTACTGAGACAGGGTCTTGCTCCTGTCACTCAGGCTGGAGTGCAGTGATGCAATCATGACTCACTATAGCCTCAATCTCCTGGGCTCAAGTGATCCTCCCACATTGGCCTCCCAAGTAGCTGGAACTACAGTCACAGGCCACCACACCCAGCTAATGTTCTTTTAATTTTCTGTAGGGACAGGGTCTCACTATGTTTCTCAGGCTGGTTTCAAACTCCTGAGCTCAAGTGATCCTCCCTCCTCGTTCTCTCAAAGTACTGGAATTACAGGGATGAGCCACCACACCTGGCCCCATACATCTGTAACTATTTTAAGATAAAATGTTTTCTTTAAAAAAAATTAGGCTGCCTTATCAATAACAAAGCACTTACAAAATATTGCTTAGGCAAATTGTCTTTTTCTTAAGTGTGTTTGCTCCCCTCCAGAGCATTTAGTTAGCTTCCAGTATTTGCAGTTTCCATGTCTTTATAGAAACAGTCTTCCCATTCCTTGCCATTTTTCCCCAGGAAATAACATCCTGATTGTGGCCCACGCATCTTCCCTTGAAGCTTGTACCTGCCAACTTCAGGGTCTGTCACCTCAGAACTCCAAGGACTTCGTACAAATGGTCCGAAAGGTAATTCATTCTTGCTCTGTGGGGTCCGTGATGGCTAGTAGTTTGAGGTCAGCACAGTGACTGGCTGATTACTAAGTTCTTTGAAGCATGTGTTTATGCTGAGCTGGGAATATTCATTTATTGATTCTCTCAACCAAGACATATTGAGTGATACTCTGTGCAGGGCACTTTATTAAGCCTTGTGTTAGAAAAACAATGTATTAGAGCTAGTTCTGGCTTCTAAGAGCTAAAATGTAGGAAGCAGCTAGGAATTATAAGCAAATTGTCTGGATTGCCCTGAGGGACCTTCTTTGAATTTCCTGGAGGGAACTTGGGTTGGATCAATAGAGGTCAGTCCAAAAGACAGCATCTGAAAGCTTAACTCAAACACAGGTCCTTGAAGGTAGGCTGAGGCGTGCAGCAATTTAAAATGAGGAGGCTAAGAGGCAAAGCCAGGAACAAGACAGCAAGACAGAAAACCCATGAGGCTGACCCACACATCTGGAGGCTTCCTTTCTGTGGGAGAGGTTGTCTGGTCAGCTGCCTCCCACACACTTCCCTTCCGGCGAATTACATACTTCCTTTCTCTGCCACCAGAGAAACTGGTTCAAACTCATTCGCAATTGTTTTTCACATTTTTGAAAAGTTTATTTATGCATCTGTCCTCATTTGTCAGTGCTGGAAGATAGAGAATTTTGTCTTGTTTGTAAATGCAGCTCTCTGGACACAGACAAAAATAAGTTTTAAAATTGCTGTGACAACTGAAGTGAGGGAGAGCACAGCTTCAGCTCTGAATGTTACAGAGACTCATAAGGAGAAAAAAAAAAACGGGTGAAACAAATTTTTTAAAATTGGAGCATCTTTTCCACTGGGTCCAAGTATAATTTCAGAAATGTTTGAGCCGCCTTTTTCTTTTCCTTTTTTTTTTTTTTTTTTTTTTTGAGACAGAGTCTCACTCTGTCACCCAGGCTGGAGAGCAGTGACACAATCTCGGCTCACTGTAACCTCTGCCTCCTGGATTCAAGCGATTCTCCTGATTCAGCCTCCCAAGTAGCTGGGATTACAGGCACACGCCACCACGCCCAGCCGATTTTTTGTATTTTTAGTATAGACGAGGTTTGCCATGTTGGCCAGGCTGGTCTTGAACTCTTGACCTCAAGTGATCCGCCTGCCTCAGCCTCCCAAAGTACTGGGATTACAGGCATAAGCCACTGTGCCTGGCCTTAAGCTGCCTTTTTAACTTGACTTGCAATTAGGAATTAACTCCTGACATTGTAGCCTTATGTATTTTGGTCCTCTTTTTCTGTATTAAACCTATCTTCTAATATCCCCTTCCTTTACGACTCTTACTTCAGATCCCATATCTGGGATTTTGTTCCTGTGAAGAATTAGGAGAAACTGGAATATGGCAGCTGACAGATCCACCAATCCTTCCTCTTACCCATGGACCAACTGGGGGCTTCAACTGGAGAGAAACCTTGCTTCAAGAATAAACCACACCAGTGAACAAGACGGAAAGGCCTTTTGGAGACGTGTCTCTTTGTGTGTTTAAAAATCCACACCACATTCTAAGTGGACAGCTCAGAATAATTTAGCATTTCCTTTCACACTTAAAGTTCTTAAGATGAGACTGTGTAAATGAGAGAAAGACTTGATTCAGAGGAAAAAAAATGTGTTCTCTCTGGACTCTTGCCTAGCTCACAAGGCTTTGGAGAATTGTCTCCCTAACTTGGGGCACCTGCTACAGAAGAGAATGTTTCGTTCCTTCCAGGTATGCACAGCTAAGGGGCCTCATTCCTCCCAGAGGGAGCTGCTGGCCCGCTCTAAGGGGTACAAGAGGAAGGAGTGTGCCCAGACCAGCTGGGGGAGCATTGAAAGGGCAGTTTGGGGATGGAATTTTTTTTTGATCTCCATTTTCCAGTTAGGCAGAGCCAAGCTGAGGAATCATTTTAAGATTATTAGAAAACATGCCCTGAAGAGAGTTGTTCTTAGGTTACACGTGAAATCCTACCCTCATAGCCCCCATACACCGGTGTTGCTGGCTGAAGACACCTGCTTAAGGATGCTAACATTTACCCTGGTACTGCCACATTCTCTCTAGAGCAGCTGGCCCTTCTTGCTACAGCCCTTCCCACCCCGTTGCTTCTGTGAAATGGGGAGACAAAGCACTTTTGCTCTCCAAAGCACTTTTGGATACTCAGGAGGAAAGATAAGATACGTGTTTGAAGTATTCAATCATAGGAGCAAAGAACTTGCAAAATATGAAGTGACTTGGAATTACCCGTGTTGTAGCCTAATGTGCTACTGCATTTCTAAATCACCAATATTTGCTTGTCTTTGCCTAGGGGCAAAGCCTAGACTCTAGACTCATAGTCTAGAAGTCTAGACTCTAGACTATGTTAACTAGTTAAGGATGTTACATTTTGAAAGGATGTATGTTAGATATATTACTTGCAGCAAGAAGTTCACTCTGTGCAATATGGACGTGTTTGCAAACCATACCAAGGGTCAGGTTGCTGTACACTTACAGTACATGTCAACCATAACAGAACATCCACAAATGCATCAATTATACCAGGGATGTATAGTAAGTCAGGGAACTAATATAAATGATGACAGTCATGGCTGCACTGCTACTTGTGCTGTCGTTTTGTTTGTTTTTCTATGGTAATTTAAAATATATAGGTAGGGCTACTTGAGGAAATTTGGAGAGCCACATTCTGTGGTTTCTCATTATACTTCCTGCATTTAGAGGGAGTTTATTTAAAAGAAAAATAAATGACAATCAAACCAAATCATCAGTTATCAATGTCTGTTTAATTGTGTGACTATATGACTGTTGATGGCCACAGACGATGGTCTCCTATGGTATAGTTCACTCTGTAGAAGATGTATGCAAAGTGAAATGCCAGCCCTTTAAAGAAACAGTAGTTAATGTAAAATGAATGTTTGTATGTTGCAGTAGCATTGACTGTGTTTCAAAACTCAGATGCATAAAACGTGAGGTATATAAAAATAGATCTATGCCTGTATTTGAAACTACAACTTGATAACCCCTAGAAAGAAGAGGACATGAAAGGATGCTGGGTATATATGTTAATCAGCAAAAGGATTACAGTTGTTTTGTTCTGTTTTTAGAGACAGGGTCTCACTATATTGCTTAGGCTGGTCTTGAACTCCTGGGCTCAAGCGATGCTCCTGCCTCTGTCTCCCAAAGTGCTAGGATTACAGGTGTGAGCCACCACACCTGGCCCATAGTTGTATTTTTTAGGTCACTTAGAAAAATATGTCATGCATTTTACATTTTGAGAAACAAATCATGGTTTCTTCTAGCATTGCACAAACATTGACCCAGCTTCTGGGTATGGAAATAACCCTGTGGTGACATGTTAATATAAAATGTTGGAGGGGAATATTCCCAGTAAAGGTCTTAAAAGAAAAGTCACATTACAGCTAATGTAATGGCCCTACCATTCATTCTTCTGGTATTTGTAATGAAGTGAATCCACTGTTTAATCAGATCCATAATCTTTAACAGATTCACCACAAATTTTTTGTGAGTGTTGAGTGCTCAGAATAATGCTTGAACGCTTCACCTTGAAACTGTAGCAGTGTGTTCTGGGCAGTATCTGTAATGTATGAAATAGAGTCTGGAATAGGTTATCCACTCCATCTCTCTAGGTTATCTTAGTCATATGATGGCCTGATAAATCTGTCTGACTGGGCTACAATCCATTGTTCTTAGTCCAATATGGACACTGCCTTAGGCAATGGTCTATATAAGCAAAAGGAGATAGAGATCTGAAATAATTTTCTGAATAATTTAGGTGGAAAACAAGAAAGAGTGTATTTCTCTGCTTTCATTTCAATTTCATTATTTCAAATTGCTTATCAAAATGGCCCAAAAGATCTGAATTCACATTAAGTTCTCCTTGCACACTTACCTACTTAAAAAACTAAACTTGCACTGCAACTGAGAAATTATTTGGAAATCATGTGGAATCTATGTATAATCAAAGAAACAGACAGCTATATTACTCAATTTCATATACATCCAAAAAGTATAGGCTAATATTATATATAACCTGAAGTTGCAGCTGGTTCTTTTTGTTCTGAAGCTGATGCTTATTAGAACAAATGATGTATGGGGACAGGAGAAGGAAGGAAGGGCAAGGAAGGAATTGACAGATAAGAAGCAAATGGTTTCTTGTAGAGAGGAATTTTGTTTTAATGTAGAAAGTTATTTGAAATGAACTAGGTGAAATGAAATTTACTAAAGGTTTTAATCTGGGATTGAAAGCCTGAAACCGTTTCCTGCTTCTACAAGTGTGCCACATCAATCCGGTAATGCCCCAGTGTTAGTCACAGATAGAACTTTGTTTCCTGTGATTTTAAAATACCGCATCTGTTCCTCCATGGACTAGAGTAATTGGCACATTTTAATGCATAAGCTGGGGGTTTCATTTTCCCAGGCTCTCTTCACCATCACTGCATTGGTAGCTAGGAGCTTATTGCTTCACCCCAGTATGGAGTTCAGATTACAGTGTTTTCCATTACATTTAGATTCATAGAATCTGAATGGCTGATTAAATGGCCATCTGATGGCTGAAAGAGGGGCGTATTTTTCACTCTGTAGTGAAAGGCTTGGAGGAGTTTCTACTTTTTATTTTAATTATACTTTAACCAAAGAATTATTTTAAAGTAACCTTATATTTGAAAGATGATTTTGCAAAAAATAAAAAATAAAAAATATGTCTTCTGGAGTGATGTCTGTTTGGTAAATCATTGTTGATAATTTCCTTGTTAGTGGTATTTGGAATGCATATAGATTGTCCTGTCACTGTGTTTAGCATTACCATAAATGTATCTTTTCCACTCAACTAGCTGTATTCGTATTAAAATGAAGTCTGTTATTTCAATTACCTAGTGTCGTTGGGAACTAATTGAACAGCTACAGTAAGAGAAGTTCCTATCTCATTGCCTTTGTGGAAAGGCTTCCCTATGTGGTAAAAGGAAGGCATTCCTCCGTAACCTAGGCACTCTGCAAGTCCAGTGTTTAATTTCAAAGCAGTGATGAATTGCTCTTTTGAAATTACTCTAAGTAATCCATGTGTTAGAATACAGATGAACCTCCATTTGATTTCACAGGCTTCAGCACAGACAACTGTTACTGAGTCTGCACGAACTTAGATAATGAGGTGCAGGGTTATTTGCATTTAAATTGTAATCCAGCACACGTGTGAGAGAGAAGAGGCGCTAGTCTAAAAGGCTGCCTTGCGGGGAGAGATGAGACAGGCGGAGGAGGGTGGGGTAAGGAGCGATGTAACATCTATTTAGGTTAATGTTCACTTTACAAAGGTGATGGGGATATTTTGTTAGGTGATAGCAGATGCTTTTCATTTTTAAACATAGGATTAAAATTGGATTTGCTTCTCTTTAATACTTCAACATATTGAATTTTCCTAGGAAAGTGACTAGCTATAATGAAAATTCAAGGGAAAGGGGAAAAAGATTGTCTGTAAATGCAGATGAAATAACTTCATTTTAAAATACAAATAATAGTAGGTTTGGTGTATGTAGGTTTAAAATTATAGTGATGAGTAGTCAAACTTAATATACAATCAGTTCTTACAAATATTTTACACTTAGCTGCCATTACACAACAAATTGGAATTTTGCAGCTGTTCAACTATCATGGACTCTGTACAGGATAGACGTGTATAATGGGAAATATGTACTGCTTCTTTCTTTGATTGCCACTCAAGATGGAAACACCATGCCAAGGCATTTTGGTTATACACAGATCATTCTAAACCTGTTATTTTGGAGAGGTATATTGGTTTCTTTCTCATTTATAAGGCTATTGTATTTTTTTCTATGTGATTCAGGTGTATTTATTTGAAGACTATTTGTAATTATAGGAAAACCACACCTACCTGTATTGCCAAATTCTTTGTAAACTCTCCGTGGCATTCGTGCTTTCCTGGCTGAGAGCTCTCCCCTGTTGATACAGCTATGGCACCATTGTAATTACAGGTGCACCTTTCAGGTGCATCTCCATTAAATGGTTCCTAGATGATTTAATAAAAAGAAACTTCTTAGTTGATCCAGAGCAATGTCATTTTAAATCTGAGTGGTCTCTTCCTATCATGTTTTCAGATGTTACTTTGTTCATTATTATTTCATAAACGTGCATTCAGAGTGTGATTCTGTTTTCAAAAGGCCAGAGGACACTTGCTGCCGATGGAAGGGGAGGATGCCCCAGTAGCACTGTGTGTCTCTGGACCCTTCTGACCAGGCATCAAGCCTCCATGCCATTCAGACTGGGGAGCTGGACACCCACTGTGTGTGAAAAAAGCAAGCTTCAAAATGCTTCCCCTGCCCTATGTGCAAACTAGGGAACAAAAAATATCTGTCCTTCTACCTATCCTAGGTTCATGGCTGAGGCCCCTATAACAAAAGATAGATTGACAAAAGAAAAAGCATATAAGTTTTTCATGTCTTGGGGCCAAGGGAAAGCTTCACCTCTACCCTCTGAAGGTTCACTGAAAATAATTGACAGGAGGCAGATTAATAGAAAAAGCATATAAATATATTAACTATGTGAGCATGTAGAGTATCACAGAGTGAGTGCCCAATCTCCCAACGGGGTACAGAGGCTTATATACCCTACATCTTAGGGGAAAGAGGATGGGGAAGTGTGGATGATTTCAGGCAGATAGTAAATGATTTTTAAAGAAATTCAATGGACTTGAAGAACATACCATGGTCTGGGACAAAGTCGGTTGGACCCACAGAGTGGACAGTCATTTGGGACAAAAGTCTGTCCAGGTTTGTTGTCAGACTTTAGTCTACCTTCCTGTGATGTGAGTTCAGTCAATGAAAACTCCGAGAAGGGACCAGAAGTAATTGTTTCCTTCTTTGGTAGATATGAGAATAACCTCATCCTGTGCTTTGGGACAGGTAGAGGACTGAAAGACAGGGGACAGAGGAAGGAAAAGCAATTATTCTCCTTGGTGGGTCTGTCCAGTCTTTATGTAGATAGGGGAAAGGTTTCTTCTAGCATCTGTTGATCCCTAAGGGCCTTTAATTCAAAATACTCAGCTGGGTGTTGTGGCTCACACCTGTGATCCCAGTACTCTTGGAGACCAGAGCCGGAGAACTGCTTGAGCCCAGGAGTTCGAGACCACCCTAAGCAACATAGCAAGACCCTGTCACTACAAAAAAATACAAAAATTAGCCAAGTGTGGTGGTGTGCACTTGTGGTCCCAGCTAATCAGGAGGCTGAGGTGGGAGGATTGCTTGAGCCCAGAATGTGTGGGTGACAGCCATGATCGTGCCACTGTACTCCAGCCTGGGCAACAAAGCAAGACTCAAACAAACAGACAAAAACCCAAAATACTCATTATACCAGGGAGCCATATTTGGGGGGGGGAGTTCCCTGTGTTCCTTTACATAACACAAAAACCTTCATACAGAAATGAAGATTTGAAGAAAACCAGTTAAACCTGAATATTTCAATGCAAAATTTGGTGAAGAGTAGACAGTCATGGAGAAACATGATAGAGCTAAAAGTGTGATCTAATGGTAATAAACTGGGAGGACTTAATGAGGCCTGTGTGTTCAGATTCCCCTGGGTGTCCCTCTGTCTTCAGAGATGAAGGTGCTCATTTTCTTTGGGTCTAGGGAAGACACCTTTCCTAGCATAACAGCTAGGAAACATAACCTGCTTAGGAAAGGTTAGAGTCCTTCCTAGGTTTTATCACCGATTCAGGGGAGAAGGGTGGGAAGGGAGGAATGGCCAAAGTGACCTTCCTGCTCCTGTTGTTTTCTCACATTCCTTCATCTTAAACTATTCAAAATGCTGAGATGCAGTATTTTCGGGTATTGTGCCCTGAACTCCATGTCACCTTCGTGGCTGACTACTACCCACCATCCACCTCAAGGAGCTGCACCAAGAATGATCCAGAGAGTGAGAATTTGGGTAAGAGAGAGGGCACATTCAGCTCAAACTAGGATCTGCACTTCTAAAAGTCATATACCATTTTTGCTTTGTTTCGTTTTTGTTTGTTTGTGTGTTTGTTTGAGATGGAATTTCACTCTTGTCGCCCAGGCTGGAGTTCAATGGCGCGATCTCGGCTCACTGCAACCTCTGCCTCCCAGGTTCAAGCGATTCTCCTGCCTCAGCCTCCCAAGTAGTTGGGATTACAGGTGCCTGCCACCACTCCCAGCTATTTTTTTTTTTTTTGTATTTTTAGTAGAGACGGAGTTTCACTATGTTGGCCAGACTGGTCTTGAACTCCTGATCTTAGGCAATCCACCCACTTTGGCCTCCCAAAGTGCTGGGATTACAGGCATGAGCCACCACACCTGGCCGACCCTATTTTTTGAAGTAATTATGTGTTAGGCTAATAAGATCTTAAAATAAGCCTTGAATGCAAATTTGTACCAAGGACATGAATACAGATTTTCATTAACACAACTATCTACTACCTTGGCAGGGTTTACTTCCTGAGGAAACATAACAGCTAATGTTCATATGCGACAAAAGACCAGGCTATATTTAGCCTTCTGGCTGGTTCTCAGTGGTTCTCTGCTTGACAGATTCCCAAACTCATTCTGCTCTTTTGTGATGTACGTAAAGGCTGCTTGCACATCCAGAGAAAATGAATAATGTACTTGGGATTTGTTTAAGTTAAATCAGCAAAGTGTCTGTTTTTGGTTTTTTGTTTTGGGGGGTTTATTGGAAAGTTGCTTGAGGACCAAAAACAATCTTCTTCCTGAAGAAAGAAAATACTTCACTGTGCCAGAAATAAGCATGTAAAAGTTCAGATGGCTTGGTTCTGGCTATGTAAAGAGGTAGAGGCATGAAGGGGAACGTACCAAGGGAACTGGGTGGAAGATCAAAGGTGATAAAAGGAAGGAAAGACAGAAATGGTAACTGGTAAAGTAAATTTTAGAGGAGCCAGTTTGGAAGTTTTCCAAAAAGGCCAATGAAGTTCTAGTTAGCAAAAAGGAAAAAGAAAAAAAAAAAATGCCAGATGCAGTGGTTCATGACTGCAATCCCAACACTTTGGGAGGCCAAGACAGGCAGATCAGTTGAGGTCAAGAGTTCAAGACCAGTCCGGCCAATATGGCAAACCCTATCTCTACTAAAAATACAAAAATTAGCCAGGTGCGGTGGTGCATGCCTGTAATCCCAGCTACTTGGGAGGCTTAGGCAGGAGAATCATTTGAGCTGAGGAGGCAGAGGTTGCAATGAGCTGAGATGGAACCACTGCACTCCAGCCTGGGTGACAGACCAAGACTCTGCCAAAAAAAAAAGAAAAAAAAGTGGGGGTGTGGGATCATTCAGCTGACCAAGAAGTTCTCATGGGAAAAAATATCCCAACAAGAAGAGAAAAGCCTTAAATATATATATAGTCTGAATATCACCTTTTAATTAAGCTGACTTCTGAGAATAATACTCTTTTAAAATGTCTTTTAAGTATATTATTACCAGTTTTGGGCAAACAGCAAACATTCTCATTTCCTGGCTTTTCTTTCCCTGAAGTTTGCATTTTAAGAGGGATGGTTTCTTAGGTAAGACAGGGGAAAGAATTGACAGGTACAGAGAAATACTGGAAGTTTTTAGAGGTTCAGGGTAATTCATAATCAAATTTTTCCTTTTGAGTATAAAGTACCTTTTTAGCTCAAATGAGAAGGGAGAAAACAGACCAACAAAACAAAACAAAACAAAAATGTTTTTAACATGCTCTGAATATAAACCAAAATTTTAATCCAAAGCTATATTCAACAAGTGACTGAAGACTCAACTAATAAGCCCCTTTATGGCTTTAACCAAGGTGGCCCTTCCAAGATCCAGACCATTCTCACAGGACAGCCAAAGAAAGGAAAGCTTAGCAAGCCACAAATGGATGTAAACCCACATTTTAGTTTGGCTATGTTCTTGAGGCTCTCAACTTTTTGTTTGGCTGCCTGCAGCAAAGAAAGGTGGGATAACCTACATGCCCCTGATAAATGGAGAATCAAAAAGAAAGAACAGTCAGTAAGACAAAACAGGAAAACAAAAGTTGTCTGTGGCAGTGAAACCACTTTTGCAAATATTATGACTGAGAAAATTATTACAGTGAAAGAGATCTGACCTAACCAATTTTGTCTGGCTTCTAACCTCCAAGCTGTCCTTGTTCATTTCTAGGTGTAGGCCAAACTAACTTGGGGGAACTTAGTTTATAGTTTAACTTTGAAACAAAGACAATAACAGCCTTCTCCAAAAACAAACCCCCTTCTTGTCAGGGGACTATACTGCCTTTGTAGAACTAACAAATTAGCCACAGGATTAGAAATTATGGTTTAGGAGTCATTGCTGTAAAATCTGAGATCAGTGTTTGAGATATTTTGGAGACCCTGCATTGATTGATACACCAGCTGACGCCACCCAAATTGATAAACTGGCTCATCTGATTTTGTGTCATCCACCCAGGAACTGACAGCACAAAAGGACAGCTTCAAACCCCTGTGATTTCATCTTCAACCTGACCAATCAACACTCCCTACTTTCTGACTCTCTACACACCAAATTATCCTTTAAAACTCCCATACCAAAATTTTGGGGGAGATTGATTTTAGTAATAACTTTGTCTCCTATGTGGCATGGCTGGCCTCACATCAATTAAACTTTTTCTTTACTGCAATGCCATGGTTTTATTTGTGCAGTGGGCAGGAAGAACACATTGGGAAGTTCCAAATTTGAGGGCTCGTCCAGGATCACCCTTGTGACTCCTGCTTGTGGCTTGGTAGCCCCCTCTCTGGCGATGAATCTAGAGGCCAGCCCAAGAGGCTGCCTAATTCTCTTGAACTGGAGGCTGTCTCTGGCATAGTTTCTACTGGCAGGGCATTGCCAATCCATGGTGCATGGATTTCATTGCAATGGAGAAAAAGTCCTATAACTGTAACATCATCATTAGGTGTCTGTGGTCCTATCATGGAGTGTCTGATTTGGTGCATATTCTAGGTGCTTCCAGCACCTCCTTTCTCCTCCTGATTGGCTTGGCTTCTTCTGGGGTCTTGGTTCAGCTCCTTTAAGGGGTTTGGCTGGCTCTCCCC